TTGGGAAATTCAAAAGAGGCTAAAATTCAGAAACAGAACTTAAGTAGCCTAAAATTAGCCTTTAGTATTTGATTTGGTTGAGTTTAGTTTTTGGGTGATGCTAGCTTTAGATGGCCGATTCTTGCGGTACCTACCGCTTGTCTGGGGGGTGTTGAAGAGCATGTTTGTGCACCCCGAACATCATAGACCTATCTCATTATGAACCTTTACATATTTGTGCATGGGTTTTGTTGTTACTAATTCTGTGTTAACCCTCTAGAGTTTGGGGGTTACCCCTCTAGTGCCCCTTGTTACACATATGTAAGCACATTTCTGCAGCTTTTGCACTAATTTGCCAATTTTATTTCTTCTGTAGATGTAAACATCCTAAACAAAACATAAGCAAGTTTTTTCATTCCGGTATGTCAGGTGTTGATTTAGCCATGGTCGTTAAGGCATTGTATACTCCTGGCCAGGGTGTATAAATGGCTTGCGTTGGTTTGAATCTTCATCTAAAACCATGCTTAACTCTTATATGCCTGTGTCTTTAGTGGAGGGAGAGGCCAGTGTAGAGCAAACAGTGGTTGGTCCACACCCAAATTGATGGCGCATATGCCGCTACTTCTAACGGTTTTGATTTTTTGTATTAAAAAAAAACAAAAAAAATGCACAACTAAAAACATTAATATCTTTCATGGCTTTTGAACACACAGCCTCAGTATCCATGTTCTTTGGCTCATCTATCCATGTCTCTGTCTCACAAGGCCGAATCATTTCATACTAATTGTAAATGTGTTAGGCTTTGTAATATAATAATTTGATAAAACAAATATTATAACTAAAACTGACCTTTTGAAGCATACACATATTTAATGTGTTTTGTAAGAGGAAACGTATTAACGTATGACACCTTTAATTTCCATAGCAATAAAACAATGTAAATTTAATGAAAATCTTTCAACATCGCACTAATAATTTTCTCAAAATTAGCTTAAGCTACAGAAATTATTAAAAAAAATATTTGCAGTTTTTCAGTTAACACACAGTTTTACATATTTCCATGTAATCTTTATATTGAGGAAATAGTGCTTTCTCAAAAAAAACATGTAAAATTTTCAAATTTTCTCAATATGACATTAAGAATATTATAGATGAGTAAAACCCAGTTCTATAAGCAAAACTTGATGGAAACATTTGAGCTGTTTTTGACAACATGCTGTTTAAGCGTTTTTGAAAATTCACAATGAGCTCATTTTCATAAAAAAAAAAATTCAGGTTTCGAGAAACTTCATAAGAAATTATCCAAATCTCTTGCACTCTCAAATGCAGTAATGTGAAGTATAAATATGTTCATAGTATAAAATTTAATTTTGTTCTGCTCCTATCTGACCAAGCCCCGTTAACCTGATTCCAACATAAATATAAACAGATTTCAACATCAATATTAATAATGTGAGAAAAATCTTAAAAAATGTGTAAATTTTGAAAAATCAAAAGAATACATTATTGTGGCACTTATGTCGTGTAATTTAGTGCATTTAGCACTATCTGTACAATAAGTTCAAAGTAAAAATTTACAGCCAAGTTTGGGAAAAAAGTGTTTTTAATTTTTTCCATAATTAGGCAAAAACAACTATTTTCAAAAAAACGTGCTTGACAATATCTCAAGAAGTAATTGGGGATTACAAATTTTATTTAAAGAAATAAGTTCTGAAAATTTGAAGACTTGTTCTTAAAAACAAAAATTGAAAATGTCCAAGGAGTTTCATATAAAGAACCCCATATTTCAAAAAATTATTTTTAATATTGGCGTCAAGATGGGCCAGATCAATCAGGGAATATTCATTCTGTAAATATCTGACTCATAGTTTAGGTGCTAATTTTGTACACAGATGGATGGAAAGATGGGTTAAGGGATGGACGGACAATTTGGAAAAACATTTTTGCTAGATCATATGATCCCAAAACGTGTATTTTCATTACAATTTTGAAATAGATTTCCCTGGCATTTCATAACTTTCTTTACACTATATATGATTCACCATTTATATGTACTATGTATAAGAGAAAATAAAACAACTAAGAAGTGCAGATTGTTTGTTCAGCCTCTTCTTATTTAACCATAATTAAAATTTAACCTTAACACATACACCTAAATATTGAAGGTTTTTTTAACAAATGATTCATCTCTTTCAGCTTTTGATGAGTAAAATATAAAACCAGATATCATTCATGTCAAAATGTTAGATCGTTATTTTAAGTAAAGTGCAATTCATTATATGCATTACATGGATATTTTACTTTTATGCTACTTATTCTTTTAAAAAATTGTGATATTTCCTTTCTAATTTTTAATTGCACAATGGTAAATCCCTTTATATTTCTAGTCAGAAAAATATATTTAATTAGAATCATTCTTGTCTGCTCTATACTGCAAAACAATTTTAATTATATCACAAGAGATAGAGATAAAACAATGAGAAGTGAGGGAAAACAATTTGAAGGTTTTAGATAAATAGCAAGAATAACATAATTAAGGGAATTTTGTGAAGAAGGAATATGGATTATGTGAAAAATGACTCTCATGTTAAGACAACCAGTTTATCATTCATAATAAACAGTAAAAATTACATTCTATCACAGCACTAAAAACAAATCTTATTTTATAACATTTATTGAGCTGCCCTAAGAAAGATGATTGTTTCCCCCCACCCCAACCCAAACTGTATTAAAATATTAAAAGTACATCTTGCCTTTTGAGCTGCAACACTTAGTTAAAGAGTCACATTGAGAAGTAATTTCATACAAGCAAAATACAATTTAAATGTACAATACACAACACATTTTAATTAAATACTTCCCAATTTTAAACATTTAACATATTTAAAGAAACATGGTCTTTTCTACACTAATATAAGTAATAGGCCATCTTTCAAAACCTTGCATTTAGTAGACTAAAGCTCTTTTTCACCATTGTTCACACAAACCTTGAGAAATAAAGAGAATGAAATATAATATTTTTAATTTTTTATCAAACATCACACTAACATTCTCATATCAAGTTGCATGCAGTCAGAGGAGTACTGAAATTAAAGAGCCCAGCCCTTAGATCTCGAGGTAAAAATATTTTGACTCAAAATTATAAAATATATTCTTCACTAAAGCTTTTTCCTTCTTCTGATAAAATGATTGCAGCAGAATTCATACACTTATGCTTCACAGACATTGCAAGTGAATCAAAACAAAAAAATGGTTATTAATAGTGTGTTCATATGAAAGAAATACTAAACAGTGTTAATTATAAAATACAGATAACTCTGCTACAGATCCTTCTGTATCAGTTTTCTGAGTTGCACTCCTCAAGTCATGTTTGATAAACATTCAAGGAGTTTTTTTCACTTATTTGCCTGTTATTATTTAAAATTAAAGTAAAAAAATGGAATGAATATTACCTGCAACACTAAATTAATCAAGATCAACTGAGCTTGCTTCAGTCAAATATATTAAGAAAGGAAAGTTATCTACAAAATCCACATATTAATATTTATTATATCATTGAACAAGGATATGTGCCCATAAATTAATATCCTCATAATTATGACAAGTAAATTAAATGCAACCTAATACATATTTCATTTCACAATGAAAAAGAAAATATACTGAAGAAATTCCACAAATATTCAAGTTCAGTAAAATCAAGAATTGTTAAAGCTCAGTGAGGAACAGTGATCATAAGCATCAATATATATGAATGACTAATATAGTTTGATAATAGTCCCCTTCATTTCTTGCAATCAATATGCTCACTCAGGGCTACACTACAGTAAAAGAGTAGAATATATATCAGCTATTGTGACCAACAATTCTGCTTAATTTAAATGGACAAAATTGAAAGTTTTCTTCCATCACAATACAGAATTTTTTTGGTGTTATACAGTACTATATTCTTTCAAAAGATAATGAAGGGGAAACATTGTATTTCAAAACAAGCTGCTCAACCATATTAGCATACTGATTTTTCAGTAAAATTAAAGCAGGAAAATGTGTGTATATCAAACCTTGAACATACAATATTCAATTTTACAGTTATTGAAAATGAAAGTACAAGAACACACTATTTACAAAATTAATGTTGATTGCACATGTCTGAAATGCAAAATATAATACCAAAAAATAATGTGCCCAGTAAATATTTCTTGTTAGATGTCCTAATAAATCATGTTCACCATTGAAATTTTACATAAAAATTTCCCAACATTTGCAAGCCATATCATAGTTATGATGTGTTTGAGAGGAAATGTCCTGTTTATATTTACAATTATTCAAAAGCCATATACTGTTTCTTCTACGGGTGTTCTTTTCAAATGTATTGAGTTTTAAAAAGTAAATTTCCTTGCTCGGAAAATAGTGGTTAACTAAAATCCATTACTATTTTAAACACCACATATCAGTATATATTCATTAAACAACAAATATCAATAATTTAAATTTCTACATGTCACCTTAAAATATGCTTTACAGCTATTTTAAATCAAAAGACAGAAAATTAATGCATTTTCATACATAAACTCAGAAAATACTATCTCAAGAATTAATTTTCCAGTTTTCCATTGACACTTCATCAGAAATAGCCTATTCTTACCAGTAGTATATTTGTCGTAAAAAAATCAATAATGCTTGGTTCATTTAGCATTTAAAACATAAGAACAATGAGCACATAAAAGAACAACACATTTTGATATTCTTCACATATCTCAACATTAAATTAAGAGTTTTTAATATACAGACATGTATCAATAACATTTTCAATTTAAAATTGTCTCCCAGGAACAAAAGGTTATATACAAAGCTGCAGGAAATATTTGAAAAGGTCAGTTAAACATTACAACTATAAAGTAAGACTTTTGAGGTCAATTGAAACCAGCAAGGCCCTGATTACATTAAAATAATTTAAAAAGCATTTTTCCTTGCATGCATTACCCAACTTACTATTTGGTCTATGCCCTCACAGCATATCATCAAAGTAGTCATCACAAACATACACTGCCCTATTGGTATGGATGGATTGTACACTTCTTAATAAATAGAAGCATAAAACACTCTGATAATAACTGTTATTCCTACACAGTGTCTCCATAACTGTTCTGAGCAATAAGAAATGTGTACAGAGCCTGTTGACTTGGAGGGACTTCTATGTATTTGTACACAATCTTTATTAACGAATATTTAAAAAAAACAAAAACAAAAAAAACATTATAGATGTTATAAATAGGAATATATAGTTGAGTACCCACTCACTAATCCAAACCTTTTAAAGGAAAGTGAAAAAGAAATTCAGAATTGTTATCACTGCTTGAATATGCTCTATTATCAATTGAAGGGGTCAGCACAATAATGGTCTAAACCACATTTTACGAAATCAGAGAAAAATCAAGTTAAAGTTACTAAATGGGCTTAGAGAGAGTTGCGAAGAAGAAAATAGTGACTTCATTCTTATCTTTATAGAGGAAAACTGGTTGAACCAACAATGAACAAAGATAGTTCAACTTCTTAGATAATAAATTGTGTCAATAACTCATTTTTTTTAAAGTGGGGTTAGACCATTATAGCACTCAACCTTTCAATAATGTATAGGATATTAAGTCTTGCCAATAAACAAAGCATTTACACATTTTATTTTCAGTTGAAAATTCTTACCTCTTACAGATGGATAGACCCTTTTTAATAAACAAATTTGATCCTCAAATACAAATTAAATGAATGACAACGACAGATTAAATGAATCTTATATTCTCTTAGACACAGCAATGGAAGAATCATGTAACTTAAATACTTTCACAAAAATATTAACTATATCAAAAAATTACAATTTTCATTAATGTTTTAAATATCTAAAACTTTTCACTCCTGTCTACAAAAATTTTTACTTCATTTTTGGAATTGTCCCTATTGTATTCTGCAGCACTTAGCATCTTCTAATAAACCAACAGCACTGGAACAGTGTTAGAAGTCACAATAAAAGAGCATAATCTTTATTGAGACAACAATCCTTTTTAAAATCATTCCCTTTATTTAAGGTGTATTAGTTATTTGAATAATGACCTACAATTAATACAAAAATTATCACCATCTAAGATTAAAAAAAATAGCGTAGTTTACGCTACTGCAAAAGCTATAGGTTCATAATTTATACAATAGAAAATCATAAGCAAGGAAATTAACACTTTTTAAAACCTCAATAAAGAAGAAACATTATTGAAAAAAAATCTATTGAAGCATTTTAATTCATATCATTTGAGCTAACAACAGGCCTGCAGCACATGTTAAAACAGTTATGACTAAATTTAATTCTCAGAAGAATGTACTATAAGAAATTAATTCTGAAGGTGTTTTCTAAATGATAAGAGTTCTCCCTATGGAGAAAATCAAAATACAAAAAGGAAAAGATAAAGAAAGATGAAGAAGAAAGAAAAGGCAGTAAGGATTAGGGTATACATCAGACTCCAATGTTTTAAAATTTCTTTAGGAACATATAAAACGTTAAGGTTTGGCATATTTGACGTATATTTTATCTTGAGTGATGGCATTCATTTAATCTGATCTGAATTAACCTCTCCAATACATGCCATCTTGCATGATGTAAAAGAGAAAATTATTTACAATAAGGTAAAATTATAAGAGATGTTACTTATAGTAATTACTTAAAATTAATACTAATCGTACATATTTCTATACAGTCATCTTAAGAAATCATTCACTCAAATAGAGAAACATGAACACATGTCATGAATATCTAATATAATTTTTGGCACTAGCAGGTTAGAAGACAATATTTATTTTTGTTTAATTTGTACTAATATTTTGTACAACCTGAATATATCTACACATTGATGATGCTACTCCTGTATTAATAAATATACTGATATTCTTTTTCTTTGCGAATTAAAACTCCAACAAAGAAAACACTAGTCACTGATTTGAGTAACTAACGTTTTACAGTACATTCAGAATCATAAAAAAAAAACAAAAAAAAAAACTTTATTCCTCAGAAAAGTTACCCCCATAAAAATTCAAAGATTAACACAAATATAAAAGACAATAATTATTGTCTTGTATATTACAACAAATGCTACTACAGGCCTGTATAACACAATAGTAATAATGAATTTTGATTATGTCTGGAATGGTTAAAGCTATGGTCTTCAACTTCAATATCCCTTTTAACGTAATTCATTTTCAGACAAAATGGATATTACAAATTATATTTCAACATAATATCTATCAAAGCTTAAGGAGTAAAATTGATTAACAATGATAAGATCATTCATTCACTAAATAAGAGAAATAGCAAATGCACTGGTAGCATATTTCTAATCAAAGAATTACATACGAAACAAAATAATTTTCACTACTAATAATTTTATTTCAAAATAATGTTCATAATTTCAAAATATCAGTTTGAAGACTTTTCAATACAACTGTTTAATAACTCGTCAAAAGAAAGCAAACTAATGTAACCTTAAATAATACGATCTAATCTCACAAGAACAGCACTTCACTGGTTGAAGACCATTGATGGAAAAGAGGGATTAAAATAAAATGTTTGTTGTGCTATATTTCCTAATGAATAGTATGATCAATAATAATGTGGTGATGCATAATGAATAATAGAGAACAGTGCACCATGCAATGTAGAAGATTGAAGCGTAGTGTTTAATTTCAGTTTTGAGCCATTAGTTATTCATGGGGCGGTTGAGTAATGAAATATATTGTTCACCTTCATTACAAGATCAGTCTCACACTGTACTCACATTATATATTCAACATGCTCAGACGTACTCAACACACAATACAGCTGTGTTCCTCTGAATCAAAAACCAGTTTTACTTCAACCAATATTTCTGAGGACACTTGGAACATTTATTGTGTATATCCTTATATAAAAACATCAAATAAATAACTTAATACAATTAGAAGAATTATTAAAGTCTAAAACATATTTCCTTTAAGAAATATGTCAATAATTTCTTACAGAACACACAATATCCACATTCTATAACTAATAAGAAAATGATAAAAAGAAGAAATCCAACTCTTTCACAATGTAAAATGTAATTATTTATTGTGACTAGATATCTGGAAATATATTTACATAAATTTAACATCAAAATAATTTATTTTTCCATTACTAAAAAACATAAAGGAAAAGAAAAAAAATGATATGTATTAAAAAGTACTAACACATTTTGTTTGAAGAAAATGGAGAATTAAAGGACAACTAATGTTAGCACTAATATCAGTGTAAAGTTGGCCTTGTTCTTTATGATGCTCAGGACAGTTGGTACTCTGGATGTCTCATGTTTACCTATATACTAGTTATGTACTTGGAGTAAAATACTAATACTAATAAATGATAATAATGATAATAATAATAATAATAATAATAATAATAATAATAATAATAATAATAATAATAATAATAATAATAATAATCATCATCATCATCATCATCATCATCATCATCATCATCGTCATCATCATCATCATAACTGAAGAGAACAATTTTAATGAAAATAAAACTATTTAAATGTTCTATATTCCAGAAATGTACAGCAGGACAATAATGCTCTCCTTTTCAAATATTTTATATCTGGTTCCTCTCATCATTCGGGCAACCAGGGCAACTGTCCATGACCTTAAGACCATCCTTAAATCAGATATATAAATTAAGAAAGGAAATTTTATTTTGAAATTCTGTACTTTAAATATATAATACTTAAAAATGTTAAAATATATATTCATTTTACAAGTTATTGTGTATTCTGTAATAAGAAAATGGGAACTACTGATAAGAAACAAACATCATCTTAACACGCTATTTCAATTTTAATCCAATTGCTCAATGTTGAGATATATTTTTCATTTTCTGTAAAAATAAACAAATATTTCTATGCTTGCCAACCTGTTCAAAATGAAGATTGGAAACACGTATAGAGCATACTATATTTTTCAGTGGTGCACTTTGTATCCATTGTCAAATTTCATACAAATTGTCAGTGTCACAATGACACAAATTGTTGATGCTTTAGTGAACAAACTGTCTACGCTCACCTAAAGTATTTAAGACCAGTGACCACCAGGAACTTCTCAATGAATAATTCAGAATCAAGAACAGCAATGTGGGCAGCTCTACCAATAAGTGAATTGGCTGTGTTGGGCAGAGCATGATGAACATCATAACGCACGAAAGTGATTTCTGGCTTACTGATGATGGGATACAGAATGTTGTGAACCATTTCACGATATGCTGCACCTGAAAAACATTGAATTTTCAATAAATAATTATTTGCAGGGGGCAAAGAAGAAAAGAAAAAGGGGAAAAAGGAAGAAGAAGTTTATTTTTACTTCCCCCTATACATAAGTATATATGGGGAAATATACATAACATAAGAAAAGTTATGTAATAATGCGCGAAAAAGCAGAGGATTATCAGCAGAAACAAATTCATTGTCACCCCTGATAACGAACTAATAGTGCTACAGAATGGCACAGACTTCCCCATATTAGTTTTCTGTTTTTGGGGGTCTGTCTATTCTTACTCACCCCATCCTCTTGCCAGCTGCCATCTGTTCCTACCAAAGTATATTTTTTTAAAAATTTTCTTAATTTTTCGGTTTCCTAGCAGTAAAATCAAAATATTATTTTAAGGATATTAAAGAACAGAAAATCCTCATCCTTTATGTCAATTTTCTTTGAAGAACTTTGAGTCGGATTTAAGTAAATGGTGTTTGAGTGTTTCTGAAATTCGATATTTTGAGCTAGTTTTCACAGAAAACGACTGTGTTTTTTGAGAAACTTTATCCGACATTATTTAAAGCACATGTATTGATAAATATAATAATGCATGCAAATTGACTCTAATATAAATATTAACTTTAATATAAATATTAAAGAACTCGGTATGGAGAACAAATTTTGTTTCAAGGAAGAATCTCTATCTTCCATTTTGTAGTTGTAGAAGAACGAAAAATTTCAAATTTTTCGAAAATTCAGTTAACCCTGAAAATTGGATATATGCCACCTTCATAAGTGTATTTTACTTTATTCTTATAATAAATTTAAAGAAAACATTTGAGCCATTTTTGAGATTTGCGATTTTTTCTATTCCTAGATACCTTCCTTGGTCGCCCAAAGAACATTTGTTTAATATTTTCTCATTTTTTCGTCTCCTTAATGTTAGATATAAAACCACCATACTCCTTTATTACTATAATAGAAGTGTAAATCCCATGGCCCACCCGGGTGGTCGAGGTAGTTATTTGGCGGGTAAGGACTCAGCTCGTCGGTTCGAGCCTCTCTCAGTGATTATTATATGTCACAATTCTGTTGTCTTGGAAAATTATTGAGAATTCTTGAAACTTTATTGAAAATCCGAATCAATTCTATTCACAAGTACAATTAATTAAGATAAATAAACCGAATGTATCTGTATGCGATTTTCGAATTTTCAACTTTTAAACAAATTTTATCATCTTTTGTTGTATTTGTAAAATGTATGTCACGTTAAATCAATTGCATTTCTACGAGCATATGAACCGATTATGTAAACTAATCAATCTAACAACATGCAATTTAAATACAATGTATACACTAACTAAGAGACCGACTTAGATATCCGTAACGGTTGACCAGGAGGGGGGGCTCAGGCCATCAACTGATGTCATTGCAGTTCCACTAACCAGGAAGTACTAGGTTTGGGGCCTTCTTACGTATATTTTGATTGTCGAGGGATTTTACATGAATCGGGTGTTTACCTTTTTATGCCTCCAGCCGAATTCAATCCATGCGACGCTTGTATGGCGTAGTGGTATACGTGCCCGCAAGATAACTCTGAGGATCTGAGTTCGGGACTCGGAGCGAAAAGGAATTTGCTGGTTGAAAACACTTTTGCTAATTTATGTAATGGTATAATATTACGGAGCATTTGGAAAAAATGCGAAAAATTATAGGCTTTGGTAGCACCACTTGTTTGGATGGAGTACTTTACATGAAACTTCAACAACTTTTTCAAAATTTTCTCAAAACTGGCTCCAATATTTTTATTAAACCTCCTTCCAAATAAATTGCACTTTTGCAATTTTCAAAAAATTGGGATTTCAAAGAACTCGAGACCTACACAATCTCTTAAGCTTTCCTTTCTCTTAAGCCAAGCCTTTACGCCATCTCCCAAAAAAATTAACCAAAAAATTTGGATCCACTTTTTTGAAAATGTCCTAGGGGCATCATATAAAGCCTCCCCCCAATTAAAATGTGAACTTCAAATACAAGGGGCCGTGACCTCAGTCCGATCGATTGGGGAATATCAATTTTGGAGAAAATAGGTTGAATGGTTTAGGCGCTAGCGTTGACCACTTTAAACGGACAGACACACGTTTTGCTGTCAATCGATTTTCCGGCATCAATGACCCACAAATCATCTTCAGATTGTCTTTGAGGTTTTCCACTAGTATTAAAGAAATATTTATCCACTTTTTACTTGTCAGGGCCCGGCAATAACATATTTTGTGTCGATTATTCGTCCCCCCCCCCCGCAGCATTTCAATACGTTCTCTATACTGCGAAAGTAGTAGCGAGAAAATAAAAGAAATACAACGAAACTACTTACAAGAACATTAATTAAAAATACAATTATTTAGTCAAGTTGTAGGAAGTTGAATTTTCCATGCTTGGGATTCCCTGGACGTTTTTTAAACGGAAGACGTAAAAGCTGAATTAGCAGCGGGATTTGTCAATTTCGAGAGGATTGAACGTACGTTCGTACTCATTAAAATACTTTCTTGTATAAGTTTGGCTCTGTAATGTTCCACTTGGTTCCGATAGCATATTCTTCACCATCGTATCTTTCCATATAAATTGCCCAATCTTTCAAAATTATGCAGTTTCTTCATTTGTAGTTTATGCTTTGTGCTTTCTTTCTTCACAACATTCTTGAAATTGTTTCCAACACTTCCTCTGTGTCTTTTGCTATTTTCGACATTGAATCTTCAATAATCGATTGAATTTCAGTTTGAAACATTACCAAAATGACTGATTACGTTTTCACTACCGCTCACGCAGTACAGTTTTCTTTTTTATTTATTTATTTATTTATTTATTTATTTATTTATTTATTTATTTATTTATTTATTTATTTATTTATTTTTAACTGGACAAAACCTACCTCCTTTTCCTCATCATTTCAAGATTTAAACAGAGAATGTACTAATATTGTTACATTAAATGTAGTTGTTATCCCAATTGATATCTTGTACTATTTTTTATTATTATTATTATTATTATTATTATTATTATTATTATTATTATTATTATTATTATTAATCCAAGCTCAAGGATCTCTCCAAGGCTTGTAGAGATCACATGGATGGCATTATTTCATTATTCGAATAATTTTCTTTTGCAATCTAAAGGTCTGGGTATTACATGATGAGCTTCCCCAGAATATTATGCCGTATCTCAGGTGGGAATGTATATTTGCAAAATACATGCAATGAGCTGCATGAAGGCTGACAGGAGTGGGTTTTTGGTTGCAACAGAAATTGTATGTATGGATGGGATGGGAAGTACGAAGTGTGGAAGTAGGTGAAGGGGTTGGAGAGGATAAGAAAGGTGAGGAGGAGACTGGAAGAAGTGGAGTGGGCAGGAGAGGTCTGGGGTAGAAGGAACTGGTGTGGGTAAAAGAGGCCTGGGGGAAGGTGAAGGATGTGGAGTGGGCAGGAGAGGTGTAGGAGTAGGAGAAGGAATTGGTGGGGGTAAGAGAGGACTGGATGCTGGTGAAAGATGTGGAATGAGTAAGAGTGTTGTGGAAGGAGAGGAGGAAAAATGGGTGGGGGATGAATGTGGGGTGGCAGGGGCTGGGGTTCCCAGTAGTTGTGAGATGATCATGGCTCCTAGTTTTTGTTTACCTATCTGGTTCATGTGGAGACGATGCTGAGTAAAACATTTTCTCGAGAGGTTATCAAGATCAACAAGTGTGATATATGTCCCTCTCAAGCACCGTCTTATATGATGGTTTGGAATCTAAATTTCATTTTTTATTGGAATGTTAAGCCAGGGAGGCAGAGTGGTCATGATTTCATTTGTGTGTTTGACAGTCTCTTGTCTTTTAGTTAAGTGTTCCTCTGTATGAAACTGACTGCCAAAGTTAATGTCAATCTGCCCACCTATAATTATTACTGTATCCTGTTGTAAAAAAGATCAAGTCTGAATGTTTAAGTTCTCAATTACATGTGCTGTTGTGGCACTAGGTGTAAAAATACTTGTATTCATCTTACCACTGCCTTGCCTATTTATTTACGAGTCTGTAATATTTGTCAAAACTGACTTACTTAATGGTTGGAACATATTTTTATGCAATACTGATAATTTATTTTTTTTATTTATAATTACAACACATGTAGATATCACATTCATCACGTGTCAGTATCAACAGCTCGCTATCAGAAATCCACATACAATACACATACATTACTTTACAACGCAGTGACAGATAACATTAAACAATTGAAGTCAATACACCAATTAAAATAAAAAGTAAAATCTTTTCCTCTGCATAATTGTTTCTACAAACAATTAGGGCCTATACTGATCATAAAAAAATTAAACAAAACAGTGATATATAATGAATTAGTTTACAATTGTATTGTACATATTTTTTTTAAAAAACCTAATATGCTTGTAACAAATAATGTACTTCAGCTTCCAGGTCAATGACCCCCATCTGATCAGGTTTTTGTCCAGTTTCCCTGATCCATTGAGCAAATGCTGAGACTGCGCCTTGTTTTGCTTCTACATGTACATGTAACTTCACTATGCGCACGTTTTGTTGAACTCTCCTTTTGCTTGTGCTTGTTTTTGCTTCTGGTTGTGGTAGGAGTTGAGGTAAGGGCAAGTTACTATTTTGTTAGCAATGCAGAAAAATCAAATCTGAAGTTTGTTTAGTATTGCAAATAAGTTTTTTAAAAACAAAAATGTCTAGTTTTTTTTAAAACATTGCTAATCTCACGTTTTAAAAATTTTATTTTTATTAATTAATCAATTAATTAATAAAAATAAAATTTAAAGATTAATTAATTAATCTTTAACTTTTAATCATTTTTCAAATATTTATAGTTAAACTGATAGGAAGGGATTCTGGAACTCTAGAAAACATGTGCAGATGATCGTCTCCCCCATATGCCACATACAGTTTTTACTGCTTTTTTGACTAAATAAATTTAAATCTAAATCTACAGTAGCGCTTAAATGCCATTTTCTTAAAAATAGGTCCCAATTTTCCACAGAAAATTGTCATTTAGAATTAGGTTTTACTATTTTCTAATACTCTTAAAATAATATTTTCTTCTACTAATAGGAAACCGAAAAATTGAGAAAACTTATAAAATATACTTCTAGTTTGATAGATGGCAGCTGGTAAGAGTATGTGGCAAGTCTGATTAGCTAGCAGGGACGTAAGAAAATAGAAAACGAATACAGCAAAGTCAGTGCCATTCTGTAGCTCCACTAGTTAATTTTATTTAAACCATTTCTCCTCAAAAACTGCGTTAACGTTTTTGATGAAATTGTAATTGTTGTTGGTTAGTCTGAAAGACGTATAAGAAAATGATGCGGGTCTCATATTGGTAGAAAATACTGATTTTTGAAAATTGAAAAAATTGAAAACTTTTTCTGCATCTTCAACTACAATTATGATACAATTTTTTACTTTCTTGCAACATATGTATATACGGAGTAAAATGTAGTATAGGGAAAGTAATGTAATGCTGCGGAAAATCGATTTGGAGATTTCACCGGAAATACATATTTTGGGGGTTCCTTGATACCGAAAAATGTTTTTATTCAAAACGCCCATCCGTCTGTCAACACCACTAGCGCTAAAACCATACGTAGGATTTTTTTCAAATCGAAGAAACCCCTGTCCAACTGGCTCTAGTCGAAGCTTTGAGGACACAAACACCACTCCACATTTTTTTTAAATTTTCTTGTAACAATATAATCAAATACACTTATAAAGGTGGCCCGATTTTCACGGTTAACTCTGAATTTTCGATAATATTGAAATTTTTCGGGCGTTATCTTACAACTACAGAATTGAAGATATTTTCCCTTCAAATCAAGGTTGTTCCCTATAATTAGTTCATTATTAAGGTCATGTACATTTTTACCACTTTAGTAGTTTTCGCGCAATATTGCGAGCAATCTGTGAAATTAAAAAAATAACAAAAACACGATTTTCTCAAAAACGGCTCCAAATAATTTCTTTAAATTTTCATTAGGGAGAGTGCTAAATGCACTCTATGAGATAACAGAAGCATCAGTTTGCTCTATTCTTTTGTTCTCACAAAAATATAACTTTTTGACTTGTCTCTTACGTCATTAATATTTACATAAGCGGAAATTTGTTCATATTATATTTAAGAGTACATGTGCTTTAAATATCGTCAGATAAAGTTTTTCGAACACTCAACCGTTTTTTTAAACTATCTCAGATTTCCGGATTTTCAGAAACGCCATTTTCTCACCAAAAAAAAAAAAAAAAAAAAAAATCCATCAAAATTTTGAACAGACTGCTATTTGCACTCTTTAATAAGACGAAGTCCATTTAGGGAATTTTTTCCTGAAAAAATGTTGTCTATAACTATCACGCTAGACGTAATCATATTCATCAGGTAACAGTATCAACAGCTCACTACAAAAAATTCACATATAATACATGTACATTATTTTACAACACCTTGCCAGATGACATTAAACGATTAAATTCGATACAAAAGTTTAAGTCCCAAGTAAAATCTTTCTGCTGCACAACTGTTTCTATACAATTAGAGACTATACCGAGCATCCAAAAGGATAGTAATATTGATTTTAACAATGACATTCAATGCATTATATATCATTTGGATTGCATTATTGTAAAGAACCTGTAACAAGTATTAAACTTCAGCTTCTGGGTCAATGACGCCCATCCCGATGAGGTTTTCGTCCAGTTTCCCTGATCCTCGAGTAAATGCTGGGATGGGCCCTTGTTTTGCGTCTGGACATAAATGTAACTTCAAATTAACTTCAACCCATAGCACGTCACACACAGTTTTAACTGTTTTTGACGTAAATAAATACATAAATAAATAAAAAATACTTAAATGTAATTTTTTGAAAGATTTCACACGCCGTTAATGTGCACATTTCGAGCAATTCGTAAACGCTATTGTAATTGAAAACACTATTGTATGTGTGAGTTAAAGTGCTTCTATACAATGACTTCTACTGAAGTTTTTCGAAAAAAAAAAAAAAAAAAAAAAAAAAAATTCTGTGAAAAAGAGCTTCTAATTCCCGATTTACAGTAATGCTTAAACGCCATTTTCTTAAAAACTGCTCCAAAGTTTTCAAAGAAAATTGCCGTTTAGTACGAGGTTTTAATGTTCTTTAATATTCTTAAATTAATATTTCGGTTCGGCTCTTAGGAACCGAAAAAGCACAGACAGAAGGTGAAAAGGAACACTTTTCTTTGAGTTAGAACTAAGATGGATTTGATAACGGGAGGAGCTACGGCTGCCAGCGCATTATGTAAAAATATTTTGTTTTAGTTTCGAGAAGTAGAAAATGGATGTGTGTTCACGATTAGTAGAGAATAGGGGAACAAGTTAAGTTAAAAACTGATTAATGAGAACAGAATAATATGCGGGAGAGAAATTAGATCGCGAATTGTAGCAATGTGAACAGAACAAATTCAGTTTGGTTACGCGAAGAGCTCCAGAATGAAAACTTGAAGTAGTCGCGGAATTCATCACAATGCCACGTGTGCAGTAATATCTTCGAAAAGGAAAGTATAGATAATAAGTTAAAGGATTTTATAAACAATGTAGCAAGGCATGTTTTAATTGATAAGAGATAAATTTACGATACAAAGAAAATTGTCATTTTCCAAATAGATAGTCAATGGCCATCAAAGATAGGTAAAATTAGAAAGTAAAAAGATATAATTTGTGAAACATCGGAAACGAAAACAATATAAAAACAAAATTAATTTTGCAGTTGACACTTCATGACGCTCTAATCTCAAAACAAATTAGCAAGTATTTTTTTTATTTTTTACTTAGAGTTAAAAGAATAAGTAATAAAAAAGTCCTAACAAAATTAAACTTTCACCGTCCGATACCCTTTTGAGCGGCGATTTTAAGCTCGCGAAAAGAAAACGAAGAAAACCTGAAATTGTGCAAGTCTGTAAGCGAACAAAAACTTCGATTAAAAAAGAGCTAGCCACTCCAATAAATTAAATAAAATGAACAAAGTCGAGTAATAATAATAATAATAATAATAATAATAATAATAATAATAGGGGCAGTAGTGGGCATGACACAATATGTTCAAATATTCGTCATTGGCTTCTGAATGACAGCCTTCATCGAAATTATTGCCTGCGATTACCGTAAGACATCGCGTTATTTAAGCATTAGTAACTAGGTGCATATACAATAACTTATTAAAGTAACTCTCAGCAAATAATTTGTTTATTTTATCACTACATTTTTTGTAGGAAATAATTCCTTATTTAACAGTGAAATTTACTTTCATTCAGGGACCCCAGACCCTTGTGGCCCTCAGACATGGCCGTTGTCAGTCCCTACGGAACTTACCCGCTGCAGAGGGGAAGGGCGGAGCCCCGACATTAGAGAATAGGTAGGCTCCGCCGCATGGCGGGAATAGATGGAATTTATGATAAATACCCGTACAACGCGGAGTACTTCAGCTAGCATTATCTTGAGAAAACTGTTCATTAACAAGTGCAAAGTTGGAAGGTTTTAGCTAACTAAAATTTGTTGACAGTGTTAGTCTGTTAACAAATAGTATTGATCATTAAAATAAGTAGATTTATTGTTGAAAAGCACAATAAATAGTTTCGTTACTGACAAAGTGAGCATCAACAATTTACTTGTAAATATTTTTATGACCTTTTAATTAATTATTATTTTACATTATCGTTACAAACAGTATTTATAAAATTGAACAAGACCATACTTAAAAATCTGTTTCTAGATTCATTTTCTAGATCTAGGAAAAAACTATCTTCAATATTTTAGTTGTAGGAAGGAGCCGAAAAATTTTTGCAATTTTCGAAAAATCATTTTTTAACGAACATGACACCTGCACCACTCTCTTAAACGTCCTTCGAACTATCCGTCAACAAAACTGAATCAAAAACAATGAAGCAATTCTTTTGAAAATTTTGAAAATGTTTCAAGGCTTCAAGTAAAAATCAAATTTCGGTTTCAAATTCAAGGGGCCGAGACATCAGTTAGATCAATTTTGGAGAAATCGGCTGAACGGTTTAGCCGCTAGCGTTGTGCACAGACGGACATTCAGACGTTTTCCTGTGATTTTTTTTTTTTGTATCAAGGACCCACAAAACATGGATTCTGGGTACACCATGTGTTAGAGGTCGCCCCCCTCAATTTAGCAACTGGATTTATCCACTTTTTCGTTACCAGGGCCGGGCAATAAGAGCTTTTCTGCCGAAAATGCCTTGCTTTCCCCCCGCAGCATTATACATTCCGAGTACTTTCTCTGCGTAAGCGGCAGAGAAAGTAAAAATTGAAATGATGTGTGTGGGGGGAAACAAACCACTTTTACTGTCAGGGTTCTTTAAAATGCTGATTTTTCTCAAAATCTTACTATAGGTTTTCACAGCACTACATAGGTCTTTCCTATTATTTGTATGACAAAGAATATTAGAGAAGGTTTTATATTTATTTACATTTGGTGTTATAAATTTTATCAATCATTAATTTACACTCATAAAATATAATTTGGTTACATACCAGTCACTGATGTATCTTTCACAGCTGCCTTACATAGCTCAATTCGAGCTGAATGTAAAGGCACATAACGATCTTGTGACGATCCACAAAGGAGTACATTTCGGAAATGATGCAAATTGGATCGTTGACTGAGACGATACAGGAAAGTTTGGCGTACATCTGCAGCATCACGAAGAGCTAATTGAAGAAGAGAACCAGATTTTTTCCACTTCTGCATAAACCACATTCCTGCAAGAAATATAGTACATTTTGTAGTGTCTTAAAATACATTTCCTAAGACCGCAAAATGATATAATATTACAAGGGGTATTAAGTTTCCCTATTTTATAAAAAAAATACAAGCGGGTAATTTATACTTGCGGGAATATTATTTTCATTCTCTAACTCGTACTCTACTTTTCCATTTAGTCACAATTTCTGTCCAAACACTTGTTGGTACCTTGACAGCTTTTTTATACCTTTTTTTACCCAGGTTACGCCCTGCCGTCGTAGCCAGTGATTCACTTCCTCTTCCACCAATTGCAAACCGCTTTCCTCTAACGTGCACCTTGAGTTGTGGAAAGAGATGGATGTCACTGGGGGGCAAGATTCGGAAAACGAGGAGGATGCAGGAAATATACCGTCTGAAGTTCTGCACAAAAAATGCTGGGTCCTGCGAGCTGCGTGGGCGGGCGCGCGTTGTAATGAAAGAGCAACACTTTCCGAGACTGAAGACCAGGGCGTTTTCGTTTGATGGCAGTTTTGAGGTTCGTGAGGAACGCGGAGTACCTCTCAGCTGTGACAGTAGTCAACCAGTAAAACACCCTATAGACCCGAAACACTGTCAACATAACTTTGCCCGCATGTGTTTAGGTCTTGGCCTTTTTTGATCACGTTCTCTAGGTTTCTTCCATACTATGCTTTGTCTTTTTGTTTCTGGAGCTGAATGATGCACCCAGCTTTCATTTCCAGTGACAATGAGGGAAAAAAGTCCATCATCCTCTGAACCTCCATTTGCAGGAAAGCTGGATCCGTGTGCTTCTTATGAGCATCAGTAAACAAACGCGTGACCCCACTTGCACAGACTTTTGGATAATGCAAGACATCTGACAGGATCGTCTCAACAGATAAGCAATCAATTACAGAAAAAAGAGGGAGTTGTACCATTATGTCATCAATACTGACGCGCTGATTTTCGTCCTCCACATTCCCAACTGTAATGGGTCAGCTGCTGAGCTCGTCATCATTCACATTTTGTCGTCCTCTCAGAAACCACGAACGCCACCGGCAAACCATTTGGATGCCAATGCATCCTTCACCATGGTTCTTCAACTATGGTTTAAACCAAGGATTCCCAACGGGGTCGATTACATTTTCAAGGGCGTCAATGTTTAATAAGGGGTCGATTGGGGGTCAATAGCCAAATATGTACCGGCTTATGATCAGGATCTCATTGATTACAAAAACAATAAAATTAATTGATTTCTGATAATAAGCAACAAAACGTACAATAATACATTACAAATTCTCTCCTCTTCTCTTGTATGTAATTCATCCTTACCAAATAGGATGTTTAGAAAACTCAAGAAATTATAACTACGCATCCACGATACTATCGCGCAAGAAAGTACTTTTCACAAAATGCACCAAAGAAATGTCAGGCCAGTTCTTAAAAAAACACTCAACATTTTGTAATCACTGAATTTCAATGACACTCAGCTTCTCAATAGCGAAGGCATCTTTAATTATGAAAAACTGAAGTATTTTCGAGAATATTGTGATACGAAGTTGTTCTCTTTAAGGCCTTTATGTGCAATTCTTTGTGTAACAATTTTGGATTTTGAATATTATAGAGAAAACGTTAGGGGGTATGAAGATTCATATAAAGCGATCGATGAAAGAAAAAGGTTGGGAATCCCTGATTTAAACTTAAGTCGATACTGAAGGAACTTTCTTTTGAGTACAACGGCAGTTCTTGGCCTTCAATGGCAGGCGACTCCTCCGCGTTCGCCCATCTGCCATGGAGCCACGACTTGAAAGCCTGACGTGCCCGCTTATAAACTCCGTTCTGTTTTTACAACGAAAAATGAAACGGCTATCAATTTTCATCGCCAGTAATACTTAAGAGTAAAACCCGACATCCGTTAGTGGCGTTTTGATAATGAAATAATTATTAAACTTCCAACTTCTTTCTTACAAAATACGACGTGGAAGTGATGGACTTGGGCATCTGGTCGCGTTCGGCGCCAAGAGGCCTCGATCTGTCACCCTCCGCTGAACCATCTCTTTGATGACGACTGCAGCTGGAAGGGTGCTTTGCGATCCCCGGCCCCTTGCTCATTTGCCGGGAAAATGACGACCCACCCTGTCGACCTCGCCCACCCGTCGATCTAGTCATTATTAAGTTACGGAAAATCTCGGGCCACCGACGACGCGACGCACTGCAATGCACGTGCATTTTGTTAACAGAGTGACAAGGAGATACTGTAACTTTCCATCCGGGTCGCTTAACACGCGTCCGGCAATTGGCCGTAATTCCTCCTCACCGCAATAACCTTAAAGCCAATGAGCAGCGGTTTTATCAAAAGTCTTGGAATCTTCGAGAACTTTCGGGAGTGAAAGGAGGGGATAACCGAGACGGCGGAGATTTCTTGTCAGACAACAGGCCAGGCACTTCTTATCAGACCACCGCCCGCACCCGCACTTGATTTCTTGTTAAACCGCCGGGAACTTTCCTTCATTTTTGAACGCTGATGCGCTCTTTAACTCTTTGTCAAACCGCCCTTCAGAAGCGATGAGCGGTAAAGTTTCACCCACATTTGCTTGCGTAATTTGAAAATATGAAGGACACTAACTGCATTTTCGAAATTACGCTACGCAGCTTCCGGAACTTCACAATTCCGTAAAGTTTCGACTTGTATTACGAAAAATTTGTCACCGTTACCTAAATGGACTGAATTACGAGCGCCTGCTGCATCGCATCTGAAAGTGAGAGCTGAGGAAGATACAGACGCGACTGCGATACATAATGGCGATACATGACTGTGGAATGGGTCGCGAGTCGGCCCGTCGGCCTCCCGCTACCTGCGAGTCTTCGCCTAGCCCCTGAGACTCCGTGGCATCTGCCCGTCTTTTCAGACGGTCGGGACGCACAGTGAAAGGACGTAACAGCTGGATGGGGACGAATGACCTCCACAACAACAAACACGGGAGATGTCATCGCAGAGCCTGGCAATGGCTCCAGTTAGGCTCTTCAGTGATATTGAAAAACTATGGACTCTTGCTAAAATTTTTTTTGTGTAATTTGGGCAACGATTCTCAGCCGCGCATTGGCTAGAATAAAGTGCAAATGGCAGACCAATTTTCTGTACGCATAGCCTTGAGACTTTCTTGTGTGTTAGATGTAGACTAGAATAAGTTTTGTTCAGGGGAAATTGAGCTCAGGTAGAAACTAACTTCTTGTCATGCTTGTTTATTTTGAGTCATTAAACTTTAAATTTTACACCATTCAATAACTTCTATCATTCTTAAACTATGTCTATCCATCTCACTCAATTGCAGGTGGCCCGCTGCCATCTGAGCTAGCCAGAAGGTAAAGTAAGACGGCCGAAAGTCAAGTTGACAGTTCGTCAGCTGTGACGCCATCATCTAATTGGGTGTGTTACAATGAAGGACATGATGGAAATTTCCACATTGGTTTAAACCATTTGGTTAGTACAGAGAAAAATAGGGAAACTTAATTTCTGTATGACCTATGTTATTTTCTGAAAAATGCTTATTATTTTGTTTATGATAATTAACTAAGGTAGTATACATGTCTCGAAGGATTTCGACATAAAAATAAGCAATACATTTTACATTATGTTCTATATAAATTCATTGTTATTACAGTTTTTATTACTTGGCTCTACAGCCAAGGTGAAGATTACACATTAGAGAAAATCTTAACAATAATCGTATTTAAAAAAATGTACCCATTGAAATTAAAAAAACTTAAGCATTTATCATTGAAAATAAAAACTAAAGCAATAATAGTGTATTGCTGAAAAAAAAATACATATATTAAATGATAATTGACCAGAAACTGAAATACTTTTAACCATGACATTCAATTGAAACTATCTATAGCCCAAATCATTAAAAGCTGTTTCAAAAGTGAAGACAATGACAATATTATCATTTTTTCTTTAAAATATATTTGTAATTGGACTTGTATGAAATTATTAGGTAATATTCAAAAGATATCTGAATAAGAGGTTGGCTTCTCAATCTTCAGAACGAAGGAGGAGGAGCAGGAAGGCAGAAGGAGAAAGAAGAGGAGGGGAGAAGGTCATGGACAAAGAGAATGAGGAATAGGAAGAAGCGAACGAAGAAGAAGATGAGGAAGAGAGAGAGAGAGAGGGGAAGAGGAAGATGAAGAGGAAGAAAGAAAAGGATGAATAGGAGGAGGAGGAGGAAGAAGAGAAGGAAGAGCAGGAGGAAGGAGAACAGAAGGAGGAATTAGGGGAGGATGAGGAGGAAGAAGAGGAGGAGGAGGGGAGGAGGATTCATTTAAAAAGCATTTAATAAAAAGATGGGCCAAACACAAAATGAAACTGAAGAGTTTTGCTATCTAAAACTGAAACTTAAATAAAAATATCTAATTAATGAAAACTTATTTATAATAGTATGATGTTTTGCTTTCATCCATTAGCGCTAAGAGAAAAATAATTAATTTTAATGTTCGAGCCTTCAACTGTTCTTTTATTTATTCCTATGTAAATTAAAAATAATGAAGTTTATTTCATTAATTTTGAAAAAAAAAAATTTTTTTAAAAAATTAGATAAGACATACTAAGTTATAAATTCGACAGAGCATTCAAGCAGTCTCTCTTCAGCAGCTGTCTCTCCCACTCCACCATCCTTTACGTGAAAATGGCATAATCACGGGCTGAACAGCAATTGTGCCTTCCCCCGGGACTGTTACGCAATAGCAACAAAGGGTCATGAGGTGAAACTAGAAATGCAGCGAGGGGGGAAAAACACAGACACTAAAATAAAAAGCATTTGATATAGTGTTTTTTACTTTCTATAATTATGTTATTACATCATGTGTTCAAAATGTTTACCAGAATTCTGAAGGTAGAGCAATAAATACCCTTTATACTTTATTATAGACAACTTTTTTAAAGTTTCTTGAGATAACAACATTACATACACAGGTATTGAGTCTTAATTCCTCAATGATCTTGGGATGAGTTTTGAATACATTTCTTTTAGCTACTCCCCAGAAAAAGAAATCAAGTGTGAGATTTAGTGGTCTTGGCGGCCATAGCCCTTTTGAAATTATGTGTGTAATTATTAATCATTCACGTACTTATTATTTGTTCAAAACAACAATGTTCAACCAAAAATACATGTTCTTCCAGTATCAGCAATGAAACAGTTATTATTTGAGTCAACAACCATCTTGTACATAGTCAAACTGAATGTGTCACTTGGATACGAAGATATGATCACATAATTTTATTTCAACTACTGCATCTTTGCAGTGAGTGGGCTTCTGATAATAACAGTCGCACACTGTTGCCCTGATTAAGTCAGCAATGTTGCCATTTCCGGAAAAGGATGGAGGAATGTGGAGGCAACCACTGTGGAAAGACTTTTTGAATGCTCTGTACAATTCAATTTATGAATATCAAAAAGTGACAATATGTTTATTTCTTTTCATGTTCAATCTCGTTAAAATAATCAAAGTTTTTCTCTGCTTGAGCAATTACAATGAGTATTTATATATTTCACTCATTCTGTTTTTATTTCACAATGGAAATGAATGAGACATTGTTTGGCTCTTTAGAATTAATGAACGCTTTAGTGAAAATTATTGTTTGCGATGAATTATACCTGAAAATAAGAAAATAAATATTTTGTAGCAGTTCTTACCCATATTCACTAACCCACTATTATTGTACAATGTTCCCAAGTGCGGTCCTGATAGTGACAGGAAGGTGTGCAGTCGAGGAAGCAAATGTTTCATCTGGGGCCGAGTTATCGCAGATCGAATGATGATATTTCCCAGAGAATGACCAATAAAACTAATTTTAGTGGGGTTCAATCCACATGCTTCCATGTGATATAGAATTTCTGCTACTAATTTATCAGTCATTGTGTCAAAATCTGAGAAGGTGTCACCCTGTAAGAGATACAAAACAAGCTTCAATAGATCATATAAAAAAGCAAAAGTAAAACCAAGGAAGCTTTCAAAAGACAAGCAGTACAACTCAGAAAAAAATAAAATTTATAAAGGCATGCAAAGGACGTTCTCAATGTGTCAAATTTTGTATCAGCTAAAAGTTCATGAAATAAATTTCTTACACATGCTACAGTTATAAAATAAATAAAATTAAAATACAATTTCAGAAAACGCAATTTTTTTCTCAATAGAAACACAAATAATTTGAAGAAGAAAAATAAAATTTAATTTTATTTGAATTGAAGCAATACATTTCATTTACCATGCGCACAACATCAAATACATTACTTGTACAAAAGCAAATTAGAAAATATAATGGGAGCAACAGGAAAATTGAGGTAGACCAGAGACCTGTACCTGATTTCTCTCAGACATAAGAAATTCAAGATTTGCTCCTGGAAGTCCAAGCTCTAAATATGTCTTAATAAGACGCAGGTCAGCTGAATTGCCATCCAGTCCATGCACACACACAATAAGATGCAAACCGTCAGGAGAAAATATTCGATACTCATCACTTATGTGGAAGTAAGGCAGTGTTGAAGCAAGAGTTGGAAAGTCGCTGAAAGGAGAAAGTATAATTGTCATTCTCAGTAACATGTATTCAAACCAGTAATAATATTTTAGTAATAATTATTCTAATTAAGGAATATTTTTTCTACCTGTAAATCATTCCACTGAAATTCATCTGGCGCTTGAAGTCCTCTTTAGACTTAATGAAATTCAATGTTTCATCCCCAACAGAAGATACTAATTTCTGTCGTAACCTTTCCTCAGTATCTTTATTTGTGTAACATTCACAAGACATGTCACGGTCTGTAGCTGAAGGAGTAGTTGTTGCAGTCGTCAATGTTGTAGTTGCAGTTGATGTACTAGGGCAAACACACTGTCTTTCTGGTACCCTACAAAATACATTCACAAATAACAATAAAAAAGATAAATACTTGGTATTATTTTTCAATATGAACTTATCACACTCACTTGGGAGAAGTTTTCTTGACTGAATCCAATTCTAATTTTGGAGGTATTTGTATCTGAGGTGGTTTATTTTCTTTCTCCCTATCTTTATCTCTGTCTTTTTCCTTAAAATGTTTTTCATGCTTTTCATGCCTTTCGTGTTTTTCATGTTTTTCATGTTTTTCATGTTTGTCATGTTTTTCATGCTTTTCATGCTTTTCATGTTTTATATGTTTTTCATTATTTTCAAGTTTTTCGGATTTTTCATGTCTTTCAGGTTTCTCTCGTGTTTCACGATGTGCTATTGGTTTACGTTCTACTTCTTTTACAGTCTCATATACATGATATAAAAGATTGTCAATTGGCAAAGGAGGTGACACTTTAGACTTGGGTTTAATGATATTTGATGTAGGTCGAGGTGGAGGTAGAGGAGGATCCCTGAATGGTTCCGGAGGTAGTGGAACATCTCTGAATTGTTTTGGTGGAGGCAAACGAAGTTCTTCATAGGGGTGATCTATGACTGGAGGAGGTTCTGGAGGTTCAACTAATTTCTGTAGTTTAGCACGTAACTGTTCTCCATTCATCATTCTCTGATGTTTTGCTGCAGCTGATGAAGTGGGATGGCGATCAGTCCGTAGTTTCATACCTCCAAAGTCGCTCCCATCTGGACTTAGCTGTCCACTGGACATGTCACCTGAAGTTCGACGACTGGAATTAGATACCCAGCCACTTTGTTCTGAGGTAATATCAGAGAGGGATGATGAAGGTGGGGAAGACAAGGTACCAGGAGATTTCCCAGGGGATTGAGATTTAGTCTTTATTGTGACAGTAGTGGCCACAGTTACTGGCTCCACAAGGCTTGATTCAACAGATATGAGAGCAGGGTCTGCTGAGCTAAAAAGACCTACTTCTAGTTTGCTAAGTTGAGTAGGTCCAAGGGCAGCTGCTGGGGATTTGGTCTGCTTTGTTGTATCCACCAACACATCTTCAGGAACAATCGGGGTTGGTAGGGAGACAGCCAAAACAGGGGGTGAAAGAGGACCTACTAAATTGGGCATGGACTCACTGCTGTTGGCTGCTGTTGGGAATGGCTCTCCACCCAACAGAGCTTCCACGCTCTCTCCGCTCTGGCATGCTCGCTGCAGAACTGCCACACTTGGCATAGACATGGTACTCTGCGAGTGCTTCATTGCTGTAGGTGTTGTTCCTCCACCATTTGTTGCCTCACTGAGATTGAAAGGAACACTAGCGCTCTGCTCCAGTCGCCGATATCCAACAGCTAGTGAATCTCCGGAGTCTGTTGAAGGAGATGTACCAGTACCATTACCATTGGTAACTTTTAGTTCAAGTCTCAAATTATTTTTTAATTTCTCCTTCAAATTATGCCGAAGGGGATGTGGAAGCAATGGTGGTCCAAGAGGTAATGTTGCAGTGACAGGCTGAGGTGGCACCAATGGAGTGTAAGTAGGCTGTTTAAGGCAATCCACACTTTTCTCACGCCGAATCTGAGTTGAGGATGACCGTGCTATGTTTAGGATATGTGGAATGTCAAGTGATGGGTTAGGGGCTGAAGATGAAGAGGTGGGATGTTGAACCAAATGTGGTTCATTCGGTCTGCGAGGTGGCAGTGATTCAGGGATAAGAGTTGGTTTACTGGAGACAAAAGGAGGACCGGTGCCAGTGTTAGTGGTGCTACCCGTTGTGCGCAGTTGATCAAGGGATTTGCTGTGGCGTGCAGGCAATGAGGATTTCCTTAGCTCACTGTCAGTAATTCCACCCCTGTGCAATGTCATGGTGCCAGAGGCTGATGCTGGAGACCGTGCATGGTGTCGGCCGGCATGTGGTCCCAGAGTTAGAGTGGCTTTCAGCACATCTCCAGGATGCATAATATGCTTCTCGTTAACACCAAGCAAACCTACAGAACATATGAATATTTTATTCAGATATGCATGCACAATAAACATTACTTAACATTCTAATTATTTTTGCCTCTTCGCCTAATCAGTAAAGCAGCAACAATATAATAATACGAATATGTGAATCTAAAACTATGAAACAATAATGCATAAATATATATTTTGTTAACTACCAAACACTACAGCAAAAATACTAACGAAATAAAAGACTAAAACAAAAAAAAAAAAGTTCTCAAAATGAAAGTTCTGCAAATAAATTTTAAAAAATTAAAATGAAAAAATTACCAAATATGCGAATATGCATGCTTTTTTGAAAAGCAGTAAACCTAAAGAGAAAAGGAAGAGTGGGATAAAGATCTGGCCACACAGATAGAGAATGTAATTGCAAACAAATTATATTTTTTTATCATGTTCATCAAACATTATTCTTGTTTTACCTTTTTTTCATTTTACACTTGCTGACTTACGATGGCCATATCTTCATGATCATGCCCCTTGTGAGTTCAGATTTCTACCACAATACAATTGAAACAATAATGATAAATTTTGTAATAACCTAAAATACTGAGAACACAAAACATTGTGCTCAAAGACAAAAATTATAACAGACACAAGCTTCCACAAATATCTTCGAATGTTTTTTAAAACAGAGTAAAAGAAAATGAAAGACAGGAAAATCATTAGACATTCCTTGTGTATGACAGAATGGCAAAAGTGGCAAACATCTTCGTGTACCCACCAAGAGACATGGGAATGGAGCTGGGTGGAGTGATGGGCTTGGCAGGTGCTGTGGTTCGTGTGACCGATGGGAGCTTATGTGAGCGTGACTCAAGAATGGCAGCAATACCACAACTGCAGTCTTCCTGTGCAGGAAGTTGGGCTCGACTAACTTCAATTGTTGTATCAGCTGCACTGCTTAGAAAAGGATCTGAAAAAACATGTTCATAATTTTAGAGATACAGAAATAATTGAATATATTTATTATTATCACTAATAATGGTTAAACATATTTGATTCTTTTGAATAAACACTCGGTTACAGAATTTATGAAAAATATGTTTATTAAAATAAATTATGAGTTGTTTAAGTTTTGATTGCATATGAAAGTTATAAAATTTGAGAAAGATTATATACATTTAAGGAATATTTTAAATTAATTGAAAATGAGGTACATATGTTTTAATTTGCAGCCTTACACTTTCAAGTATGTTAATAAAATACAATAGTTTACAATTCAAAAGTGAAAACTGACTGAAATAAAGATTTTCATACAGTGACCACTTTAATGCCACTACTTACTACTTAAAAGCTCACTTAGAGTGGAAATTTATTGGAATCCCCCTCAACAATACAATTTTGAATTCAAGTGCCATTTTCATGAAAACTTAAATTTTCAAAACTATACTTTTTTTTTTGGCCTCTCGTTTGCAATTCATTACATTTTTGTTTTATTGAATATGTGAGCAGAGAAGTTCTTTGTAACTTCTTGTGAAGCTTGTTGAAATATCAACAAGCAAGTTGCAAACAAAAAAAGTTTTAATACAAGCAATATCAAAACAGTTAATTTTCAAAAGTGCTCACACATAATATTCCAAAAAATTGCTTCAAGTTTTTTCTCAAAAAAATTCGTAATAAAACAGGCTTTGCTTTTCTATGATATTCTAAGAGCCTCATCTCAATGAAAATATTAAAGGGGAAAAATTAAGAAAACTCGTAAAAATGTTGGTATTTTATTACAAAATTGAACTTTTGAAATATAAATTTTATCACAACTAAAACTAATCCATTAAAATTTTAATAAAATTATCCAATATCATGTTCTCTAAATTATGGATTATACAACATTTTCTGTACAGTTTGTGAACTTTAATTAGAAACTAGTACATGCAATTCTGTAGCACCATAAATTTATTTTGAACAAAAGATAAATCCTGATGCTTACCACTTCCAGCTTTTCGCCCTGCTACACTTCTTCTTCTTGCAAATTCAGCCATATCTTGATATTGGTCTTCAAATATAATTGGTAATGTGGTAAGATCTCCATCCAATTCTATACACTGAACAGGAAGTGGAGGTAAAGAAGCCAAGTATCGAGACCGCCGAACCATTTCTGATACAGCTAAATAATTTTGATAATTTGCATCATAACAACCAGCTGCTGATTGTCGAGGGTTATCCAAAACAAAGAATGCTTCTGCAAAACGTTTAACCTGGAAAGAAAAAAGTTAAATAAGATTTTAATTGTCACAATACAGTACCAGAAATATGAACTAAATAGTTAACTGGTGTTTATAAATTCTTGTATTAACAAGAACAAGATTAGTATTATTCAGATATCTTTTTGTTTATTTGCTCAAAAACTTTTCAATGTGCAGAGCAATCATTTTCAGAACTGAATTTCCCCCCCCCCCCCTTTTTTTTTCTTCCTATACTGCAGTAAGGAAAAGTATTGAATCACCAAAATATGATTTCAAATTCTCGCTCCTAAAATCTGTGTTTAAAGTTCTTTTGATCTGTAACTTTTAACATGTGTCAGGATTAAGACAGAGCCAAATTAATTAACATTGGTGCAGGTCACAAGGCCCACACAATTTTCTACCTAAATATCAGGATGTCTGGCTTGATGGATGATAGATGTATGTCAAATTAGAAGCTTCTCTGTCAAATTAGAAATTTTTGATTTAAGTAGACAAAACGTCTGCAGTAATATCTATTCACACAGAGCTGGAGATTTTAAGGATATTTTAACTTTTAGAGATTCTTTACACAAAGCATTTTTAGTGATACGATCAAAATTTCCAAGAAAATGGATGCAATGCTTTCTTTAAATTTTTTGCCAAATAAAAAAAAGTGAATTTATAAATATTGTGCTGCTTTGATTTTAATTAAAGTAAAATCTTGAAAATTTCAAAAGTTGAAATTTATTTTCAAACCTGTCTTACTCCGCCAATAGTAAAGCAAGAGACTTTTTCTTAATGCAATTTATCTTTCAATTTTAGTCCTTCAAATGAGGCAATTTTTATAAAAAAGTATAAGTATATAAGTAAGTAATGAAATAAAATAGTTTTCTTATGTGATTAGTAGAGTAGGTCTATGGACAGGATTGGAAAAAAACGTTGTTTTTTTAAATAACCCAACCCATCCTATTTTTCATCAAGAATTAGATTTTTAAAATGTTCATTAAGAGACCATGTTGTAGATCAAAAAGCTTACAATTTATAATTGAAAGATGTATAATACAATATTAAATTCCTAAGTAACAATATTTTGGAAATAAAATTGTAATATTTATATTTGAATAGAATATTTCATATTTTCAGGTGGGTTATTTCCTGGGTTTTATTGTTTTTTTGTAATGAGTTTTATTTAAAAAACGGATGGTTTTTTTTAGGTTGCGGATCATGCCAACCATGTCTATATCATATGAATGAAATGCTGACGGACAAGGTGATGATAAGAGAAGAGGTATTTAGAAATGAGTATGCCAAAGACAATTTTGTATGAGTTACGTACATTATCTTTTGTTACATACCCATGGACACTTACAAATGTATTGTGGTAAACCAGAAAACCCTGGTTATATTTTGAACAGGAAAAATGGCATCAAGCATTATAAACGTAAATGTTCCCATACAGGATGCTTAGAGCCAAGGAATATATGTAGTTATGACGACCAATAAACAAGTTATAATATTCCATATCCATTCCTTGATGACAGAATGCTATTCATTTGAGGAATAGGACCCCAAGGGCATTACATGCAGGAAATGTGATGGTGGCATTGGAAGGCAAGGGTCTGTGACAATATTGAAATAATCACTCTTTCACTAGCCACCGAATAGAACGTACACAGCATACGGAACGGTACGAACATTATTTCAGTTCAGACTGGGGTAATAGCTCAATGATATGGAAGCAGATGACTTATAATTAATTTTGACAGCTTTGTATAGCATGAAGTATGAAGTCAAAGGTATCACTTTGATTTGAGTTATAATATGTATTAGGTAATTGAAATTAAAATAGTCTCTGTGTCCGAAGGGAATTTTTATTAGAATAGATTCTTAGATGTAAAGGATTTTTAGCCAGTTGGGTTGAAGATAGTCATGTGTAGGTGTTTCATTCAAAACACAACCAGAGCAAGACACTCTTGCAAATTAACTTAGATGCAATTATTGAATTCTATGAAAGTACCAAATAGTTTAGAATTCTCTGGAAACATTTGTAAAACTATTCTGATGTTAGGCAAGATCACGATAATACGGACATCAATGAGGAGATCCTACAAATAATCTCAAGCCCGAAGATTTGGAAGATATGCAACTGCCCTCAGGCATCTCATTCACCGTCTGCACAATTCGCAAACTCTCTTCTGTCCGTTCCTTCTCTCTTTCTTTCTTCATTTATTAATTAACTGGGTATGGGGGGGGGTCTTTCAACAGCTACGGTTATTGAGATTCACGAGTGAAGAGTTGATGAGTAAGTTTAACTAGCTTAATGATGATGAAGCAATGGCGAAAATGAAAGGCATGGGAAACGAGAGAACATCAGGCAAATCCTTCGAGAGCTCGCTTTGCCCACCAAAAATTCTACATGTGTTGTTTGGGGATCGAACTTCGGCCTTTACCCCACGAGTCCTTCGCGCCTGGACGTTCATAACAGGGACGGAAAAAATTAGTGACGTCTGCGGGCACGTGAACTACCGTTAGTCAATTAGTGTAGTGAACGCTTCTTATCCATGACGCCATGACGTCGGAGAAGCCATGACAAGCTCTAAGATTCCAACTTTTTTCCCGACACGTGTGGTATACGTAAGTATTATAGATGTAAGTCCTTAGTATTTGTCTAAGGGGAGACGTTAGGACAAGGATGAGAAAAGAGTGATCAAGCGTGGTCCATGGCCCGTTTGCGAGTTCTGCTCCGGCACTCGCCTGGTATCGATACCGATAAAAACAGCCAACCACTAGATTCCTCCTCCAGACGTTGAATTCTATCTAGCTATTTAGCTAACGTCGAAAATCCGCCACCAACAAACGGGACTCGGAATCCTAAAACCTTTCGTTCACAGAAGCCGCAAAGACCGCGACAATGCTGGCTTTCAGCCAATTCAATCAGTGAGTTTGGAAAGGATTAAGAAGGAAAGTTCGCACGCGGCCTGTGGCCATTTTAAAGGCACCGTTTCGCCATTCGCATGGTACTGATTGGAGAAACTATGAAAAACTATCGATTCTCAGGTGCCCGGTTGCTAGAATTCTTGTCCAGAATGCTTGCTGAATTTGATCCAGCTATCTAGAATCCGCTATCGATGAGACTCGAGCGGTGGACTGAGAGAAAAAGCGTTATCGCAAGACTGACTTGCAATGAGAATGGCAGCTAAATGTAAGCTCGTCACAAGGCTGGTGGCCGATGACGCGGCGGAGGTTGGTGGAGAACACCCTCCAGGCTTCAATGCCGAATGGGTTGCCTACCGATCGGGCGCAAAGTCAAACATTTCATATGAATAACTTCGTTACACAAAATTCCCCAACACTTGTTTATCGGGAAAGGTTATGTTCACCCGCCTAAATGCCTTAAAATGTCTTAATATTTACTCTGAACCATTCTGTAATTTCGGGTACAATATTTCAGAAATGTTTTATAGAATAAAAAACAAAATTAAAATTATTAAAAATATAAAAATATTTTTCTTGATTAAATAATTAACCTTTCTTTCACAATGTTATGGATTTTCATTAACATTTGGATTAAACAACACTGTACTTCAGGATCAATAGGACAAATTAACCTTTCCTATCTAGTTTAAAATATATTAAATTATTTATTTTTGGCTCGGGACGGAAAAATGAGAAATAGTACTTTGAAAGGTATGAAATACCATAATCTTGTGGTAACTTCGAGCCCCTTTCGTAAATATTTTCAAGCAAACATCAACACAAATTTCACAATTACAACTTCTTTTTATAGTGCTAAATCATCTCACAACAATGAGATGACTTCACAAGACTTTGCAAGCGCGACGCGAAATTCCATTTTGCATTTCCTGCATTTTTGATATTCCCTGAAAGCTAGCAATTTTTATTTCATATATTTCAAAAAATATTTAAATAATTTCTAAAAGATTAATGTGTAAATGTATAACAACAGGTCGAATATGAGAAACGAACAATAAATATTAAATAATATACAAGTTCTAATACAGGAAACATCCGACTGTCCGGGATCGTTCACAAGGGGCAGTAAATTCGCAGCGAACATTTAATTTTGTCGCCTAATTAACCCAAAAATACTCATATTTTTAAAAAAAATTAACATGACCTTCTTTGAAGATCTATTTTTGATAAAAACATTACATTAAGAAAAAAAAAGTATTTTCACAAACGAATTTACAAGACGCCGGAAACGAAGCGCAGTCAATTCGGGCGGGTTATTATACTTGTTGCGAAATTATACAAAAATACTATATTTTTCAAAAACTTCAACATGACCTTATGTAAAGATTTGCTTTTTATGAACATGTTTCATTGAGAAACGAAATTGTATCTACACAATTGTAGCTGAAGAAAGACACCCAATTGTAATTTTTTAAAAAAAAAATTTGCAAAATATGGCGTTTCAATGAACAATAGACCACCATTCTCTTAAGCGCCCTTTATGCTAAGTTCCCAATTTAATAAAAAAAAATGTACAGTTTTTAAGAAAAAAGTGGTTAAAAGAAAATAAAAATTGCCAATATTTGACACACAACTTCACAATAAATACTCATAAATTTGAAAAATTTAACATAGCCTTATTTAAACATCTGCTATTGATGAACACTAAGACACGAAGGAAAAAAAGTATCTTCATAATTGTAGTTGTAGAAAGAGGCTGAAAAAATTTTTACTTTTTTCAATTTTCAAAAACTAAAGAGTTTTCAACCAACCATGATATTACATCATTTTCTCAAACATTCTTCAGATATCCACCAACAAAATTTAATCAAAATCGCAGGCACTTTTTTTTTTATTTTGATAATATCCCAGTGGGTTTCACGTGAAGTACCCTCTAAAATTTAGATATCGATTTCATATTCAAGGGGCCACGACATCAACCAGATCGATAGGGGAATACCAATTTTGGACAGAATTGGCAGAACAGTTTAGTTGCTGGCGTTGTTCACAGACAAACAGATATTATGCCATCAATCGGTATCGACTCACAAACCATGGATTATGACTACACAACGTGTTGGAGTGTAATTTATCGCCTGGATTTATCCACTTTTTCGTTACTAGTACCTTTAATAAGAGTTTTTCTGAAGAAAATTCTCCATTTTCGCGGAGCATTACATAACTCTCTTGTTAAGAAGGCTGGTAAGGGCCAAATTGTTTTTACACAGAAAAACAGAGATTTTACTTTCAATTAATGTATTTTTTGGGTGTTCTTGTCCATGGTCGATATAACGAACTTATTACCTTCAAATTTTATTTTCCTTACGCTTCGTTTGAGATGGTGTCAAAGGCATATAAAAAAGGCGGTAAAAATTAACTTAATATTACAAATCGCAGAATATTCGTATTTTAATAAGTTTATTAGTATTAGAGTTATTTATCAACTGAGTATGATATTCTACGACTAACCAATAAAAAAGTTATAATCTGAATACAGATGGAAATAAGCATTTTTGCAAAGAATTATTATTATTCGCCAAGCGAAAGCATATGGTTTCGACAACCCTGCGCTGGCAACAGTGCATTGCTCTCTGTATAATTTGCTGCGAATACTAAATCATTCAAATGTATTCCCGTTTGTTTCATTTATCAAAGTAAGAAATGATAGTTGCTGCTGACTATCGAAATGAATGTAGATATGCATCACAGGAGCTTTCTTTGAATTGGACGTTTTCAAATAATGAATGAGGTGTTAGTAACACGAAAAATGTAAAACATTAATATTAAGTAGTTGTTTCCAATAACGCCAGTAAGTGTGCTGTTGTAGCACAGCTAGTTTGTATTTGAGAGATAAATGGATGAAAAGTGAAGTGTCTTTCTACTAGTAGCTCTAGAATATTCAATACGATATTTTCAAGATCCTGACACTTCTCTTTAAATTAGTTAAATTATTAATTTAGTTTCTTGTGAAAACGAGAAATTGTATGATTAATGATTTAGATTTATTTAGTTAAGAATATTAGAGAATAGTAAAACCTAATTCTAAATGGCAATTTTCTATGAAAAATTGGGACCAGTTTTTTAAAAAAATGGTGTTTTAAGCGCTACTGTAGATTTACTAAATAGATTTGGATTTAGCGAATTGATAGCGAATATATTTGGATTTATTTAGTAAAAAAGCAGTAAAAACTGTATGTGACATAAGGGGGAGAATCTGCACACGTTTTCTTGAGTTCCAGAATCGCTTCCTATCATATTAATTATAAATAGTTGAAAGATTGGTAAAAGTTAAGAAAAAAACAGTAAAATTTAAAAAAGTGCAAGTTGTGCATATTTTGTAAAACTAGACTTTTTGTTCTAGAATTATAGAAAATTTATTTGCCACGGTAAAACAAACTGCAGATTTGATTTTCCTGCATTGCTATAAAAATGGTAACTTGCTCTTACTCCTACTAACTGCTTGTTCTCCTACCAGAACAAGCAAAAAGAGAGTTCAACAAAATGTGCGCATAGTGAAGCTACATTTACGTCCCGAAGCAAAACAAGGGGCCATCTCAGCATGTGTTCAATGGATCAGGGAAACTGAACAAAAACCTGATCGATGGGGGTCATTAACCCAGAAGCTGAAGTACATTATTTGTTACAAGCATATAAGGTCTTTTTTAAAAGAAATTATTCAATACAAATTTAAACTAATTCATTAATATCACTTTTGCTAACATAAAGATTACATTTCTTGATGATCACTACAGTCTCTAATTGTATAGAAGAAGCAACAGAAAATATTATATTTTTAACTTAAATTTGTGAACAGACTTCAATTGTTTAATGTCATGTGACAATGCATTGATAAGTAACGTACATGTATTGTATCTGGATTTTCAGTGGTGAGCTGTTGATACTGACACTGCATGAATGTGATATCTATGACGCATGTTGTAATTATAAATATCAGTATTGCATGAAAATATTTTCCCACCATTAAGTAAGCCAGTTTTGACAAATATTACAGATTCTTAAATAAATAATAATGACGATGGCACGATTCCAAGCTCAATGAAGAGAGACTTGTAGGTATCACGTGAATGGCATTTTTTCATTATTCGAATAATTTTTTTTTGCAATCTAAAGGTCTTGATACAACATGATGAGCTTCCCCAGAATATTATGCCATATCTCAGGCCGTAATGTACATTTGCAAAATAAACACAACAAGCTGAAGTCTCACAGAATTTGAAAGAATTATGGCTGCATAACATATTTAACTTCATTTAGGGTTTAATTCTGTTATATGCACATTCCATCTGAGGTTTGAATGAATTGAGAGACCTAGAAATGTTACCTTAACATCAGCTACTTGCATATTGTACATTAATGCAGATTAATCCAGTTAATAGCACTCACAATTCACTATCTTCTCAATCCATAGCAGTAGGATAATTTGTAATGGTGTAGTATGAAAAAAATATTCATTAAATAAAGCTCTTTTATTGATTCCATGCTACAAAGCAAACATGAAGAGGAGGTGAAACTCGGCCACGCATTGTCCAGCAATGAACAATGCACAATAAATGAAGTTGCTTAAAGTCATCCCATCCCATATGCCCAATTTAGGTAACATTTTTTGTTCAAAGATATTTATTTAAATAATTATCACCACACAAAAATAGACAAAGCATGTTTGAAAATTTTGTAAACCAAAGTTGTTAATTACATGAAAAATAAACATGTTATTTACTAAAATCTTCCCAAAGTCGCACAAAGCCACCTGCGTTTATGGTATGTTGAGTTTTCTTTTTTGTTTTTTGGATAACAATCACAAGAAACACGAAAATACCTACAATTTAAAAAAATTGAACTTTCAAACATTTATCTGCAGTAGTTAAGTTGAGGTCTTCCACAGCAACTGAATTGTCACAAGAATGTCATAGGAATATTTAGAAAATTAGAATCTGCAAAAAATATCAAACTCTAAGAGGAAAAAAAGCTCTCAAGTGCTAAGAAATACAGACCCTTAAATGATGATGGTGTTTGGCAAGATGTTGATGTACAGGATCTTTGCATGTGAACGCTTCAAGAAACTGTTGCCACAGCAGAATGTTTTCAGCACAAAGTTGAGCTATATCACTGTTTGCTAGAGCCACAAATTCTTCTTCCACTTCTACAAGCTGAAAGAAAAAAAAAGAAACATTTCATAGTCCAATTCGTTTTCAAAGATTCTTGTAAAATATTCAAACTTTGTTCATATTTAATTCATGCTCTTCTCGCAAAGATCTCCTGTGAAAAACAGTTTTTAATAATTCAAGATTGATAATAATGACAAAATGAAATTGCACCAAATGTTCAAACAACAAAAAATTGTAATATCAAATAGTCTGTCATTCAAACTTTTATGTATTTAATTTATCTACTTTTAGCTACATAAATGAAGGTTTCATTCTTTGTTAAATAGTTTTACTTTAATTCACGGCTGTAGAATTTGTTGCACTACCAATACTATATTTACAAAAATTGAGATGTGCCAGTTTGTTTGTATCTCTGATAACACTAGTTTTGAAACAATAAAAGATTTGCTCTATTTTGAGCAATAACTTACAAAATTAAATTATTTCATTTAACAGTTTCTCTTTTGTTTAAATAGTGTTTGTGGATAAAATAATGTAATGCAGGTCATACATGAGATTAAGCACTCATGATTCCTGCTATCACATGAGCCTTCATTTTCATTTATAAATAAAACCGTATTTATCCATTTGTACCATAAATTACTATAAACTACAGTGACTAATACGCCATTTATATTTAATTTCACATAATACTTAATACAGTGGCTAGAACAAAGGACTGGTTAAGATAATACTGTTGGATTGTTTTAAAAACCTTGTTTTGTCCGAGAAAAGTGGGTTTATGAAAGATATTGTTCTATTTTAAGTTCAAATAGGTATGTGCACAAGTATTAAATAAAGATTTTAATACTTCGTTATAAATAATGGGGCATTTTTCTCATAATCTTTGTAACAATGGAACAAATCAGGAACTCCTAATGTAGCATTCATAAAAGACTAGCTGAAGTTCCGCCTTTTCCCCGGGAATTAGTCACAATTCAATAGAGGAAAAGGAATGAATATTGGTATCTCCGTCCGCCTTGCCTTACCCTTGAACTGCCCTACGCTGCCCTGACCTGCCTATCCTGTCCCGGCCTTTCCCTCCGCTACTGACTGCCCTAACAACATCGTTCTGGCTCGCCTTGGCCCGCCCTGCCCTGTTTCACACGATCATTATTGCTACGGATTAATGAAAACAGATGCATGCATTGTTGCATACTCCCGGCAAGATTCAGAAACTACATTGTCCGCCGTGAAAAAACGTGATATCGCCATCGTAATGAATGAAAATAAATTTAGCAGGTCATTTTATGAGGTTTTAGCAACATTCACTTAGGAGGATTTCCTCACCGTTTTTGAAACACCAGAAAAAAACTAAAAGAGTGATTATTTTCCTTTAACGGATAGGAAAGTTATAAGAAATCTCGTACACAATAACTTTTTCTGTCGTTTTGAAGATTGCGGTTGTTAAGATTATGGTAATTCACATGATGTAAAAATTCAATTGTAATATGTTTATGAACAAACCATATGAAATTGTACAAAAGGCAATACATTTGAAATCACAGAACAGACATTTCAATTTATATAAATGAGGTACGAATTAAAATAACATTTAATGTCTGGTATAGTTTTACTTTTTCAATAGAAAATTGGCTGAAGTAACTCGGCGTTATGGGTATTTACATGCCAAAATTATCTATTAAATAGCTCCAACCGTTACCCCTGCCCGCCCAGTTCTCTCTGCCCCCGCCGTTCCTCCCTAGTTTTGCTTAGCGAAGCCAAATCTAAGCATAAAGAAGTAAAAAACGTAACTAAAACAACACATTTTGGGGTAACATTTTGAAGCACGTAATTTAATGTTTTTTTTTCTAAGCTACTCGAAATAAATTGGAGGCAATAGCTTCAGTTGTTCAAACGTTCTGTGCAACACAATAAATACACAAATACAGGACCACTATTACAAACATACACATAAGATTCACTTTCATTCAAGAGACTGGCTATTTCCCTTCGTTGTCCGGTTACTTATTTATCTGATTCGTGTATGATTCACCCTCGGAAATCCTCCTGATCACGTTTCAATAAATATTCCGGAAACAATGCATCCAGTATATTTATTCAGCCGATTAAATCTCACAATATTTGATCCAGAATTGGAATAAATTTAATTTTTTACATAGTATGCTTTAATAAGGAAGCACTATTTTATAATAGCGGCAGAATTTCACTTTTTAGACAAATGGAGGTAACTCCATTTTCAGCTCCGCGCAAGTGGCTTTCATTTATTGCGAATGTGACAAGCCACCAACATTTTCTATAGACTGCTGAGTGCATTACAAAATTGGCAAACTGTTGGAGACACACCACGTTAAGAATCCAACGCGAGTTAAAACGGATTTGTGTTCCTGGACACACGAAGTTGTTCTTGGTCAATCACGATGACGCGTTTGGCGGATATTATTCATAATGTTACTAATTTTGATTGGGCGGGTCGGGTCGAAGCGGGGCAGAACGGGTTGTGGCGGCGCGGGGGCGGCGGGGCGGAGCGCGACGAAGCACGGCGGGAAGATCGAAGCGAGGAAGGGAGGGGTATGGAGGAGCGATGTCGTGGCGAGCGGAGCGGGGCGTGGTGGAACGTGGCGCAGCTGCCGAAACGAGTTGGGGCGGGGCGTGGAAGAGCGGGTCGCAGAGGGGAGCGAAGTGGAGCTGGGCGGGGTGATACGGGGCTTAAGGAGGTTAGACGGGGAACAGCGGGGCGGAGCGGGGTCGGGCGGCGGCGGAGCGCGTTGCAAGCGGGTGGGGCGGGGTGGAGCGGCGGGAGAAAGTGGGATGTGGCGGATCGAAACGGCTTGGGGGGGGGGGGGGTGCGAAGCGGGGAACAAAGCGCGGAGTGGTGAGAAGTGGAGAGAGGAGAGAGAGAGAGGACGGAGCGATGCTATTTATGTGGAACGTAGCGGGGTGGGGCGTGGTGGGCGGGATGGCGGGATGGGGCGGATGGGGCGGGATGGGAGCGGATGGGCGGATGGCGGGGTGGGGCGGGGCGGTGTAGCGGATTTGAGTGAAATGTGACGGGGTGTTCCTGATATTAATAAATAAATGTCCTGACAATGTCCTCTCGATTATTTCCACCAGTAGTGCGTATGACCTAGTCAAACAATGCATTAAACAGAAAACATTCAAAACTAGTAATAACAATTAATAGCAAATAATTTATTGGCAAAAATACCATTGTAAGTCTTAAGACACAAAAAATTACAAGTTTTTCCTTTATTTACCAGTTTATTAATCTCTAACAAAAATACTTACCAAGGCATATCCAGTTACCAAGTAATAGAAAAAAATATTGTTCACTTCTAAGAACACAAAGGTTTTTGGGAGTATAGTTTTTTTAACTAAAAGAATACCTGCACTAATGATAATCATCCACAGGACGTTTTAAAGACAAATTGCAAGTGAATTATGCGATTTTATTCTAAATGAGATGTCATGCATTTTGTCAAACCAGTTCCTGAAAAGGCTTTTTCACTTTAATGTCATACCATGCATTTTGTGATATAACATGTAAACGTAAGCAGAAGAAACTCAGTGTTTCAGAAAATAAAAACAATATTTTATTATTGTTTTTTTATTAACTTTATGAACTTTACAAGCATGACATAATAGCTAGCATTAATGTAATTAAACAAATATACTTAAGTTGGAAAAAGTTGTAGAAGAACATGCAGGACATAATGAGGAACCTATAGAGGGGCAGGCAGACACTAAAATGGGGCAGGCAAGGCAAGTGAAGGATTTACCCTGAGTCGGTCCCAGTGGGCGTCGGAGTGGTGGTTGTTGGAGGAACGGTGGTTCACAGTTGCCAGCAAGTTCCTGTGGCATTCCTTAAGGCAAAGAATATGTACAGGGTTACACAATTTATCGACTGTCAATTGCGTCAACTGAAGAGCTCCTTGGTTTCGGAAGACAATATGGATTTGGAAAGAAATGACACTACAGGTTTCACAAGAATCAGATTGAAGAAAAGGGTTTGGTTCTCCAAACAATGTTAGAACAAAAAACTTTGGAAAATAACTGCGCTAATAGAGGCATATAAAACAATATCTACTGAAAATTAATATGAAGTGCAACAACACAGAATTTAAAGAAAGCAATTTAATATGAATTCTGACAGAAGGCAAAGAAATAATTATTCAAACCCTAAATAAATATTAGTTTTATACTAAGCTATGGAAGTCTCATTATCTTCTTATAGTACAGACGACAGAAATATAACTTTAAACTTGTTCAAAATTACTCGATAAACTTGTGAATAGTAATGAAGTTCTTGACACAGAATCAAATTCTACACAAAACATATAACATTGTCATTGGTGAATAATTCCTATTCATGAAATATTTAAAAAAAAGAATTGAAATGTCAGGATCTGGGATTCATGTACGATTAAGTTATTACATTTTCCGGTGGCTGTTTGCTTTCAAGAATGGGAAGACATGAGCTTACTCAAAAAACTCAACTAAATAATCCTTTTTTAATGTTAATATAGATGCCAAAACCAAACTGTTTGATCGTTTTAAAATCTCGAAAAGATAACCAAATTTCCAGTGCCACACTACACATTACCTCTGCATTTTTATTATTATTATTATTGTTGGTTCAGCAAGGCTTGTCTGCGATGCATTTGAAATGCTTCACATTGATCATTATTGTGTAAGAAGTGTGATCAATCAAAGAAAGGAAAATCAAAATTATAGTGTATGCCTCCAAAACCTCAGTTGTGGCATAGGTTTGATATTTGGTTTCTATGTTTCTTGGTACACCAAAGATGACTATCAAGTTTGCCAACAGGAATTTTGGCTAGAAACACGATTTTAACCAATGTTATTTTTTTTCTGTTATTTTCAAAGTATCTCAAAAGCCATCTGTTTTCCCACCCTAGATGGTTATTACTTATACCGTTTTCTGAAATAAAAGAAGATAAAATTACCTTTATTTATTGCCGATGCGATTTTTTCTTCAACCAACAGTTTAGTCGCAAGAGCACAAAAATATTGGTATTGTAAACAAAAATCTTTTAAAAACTAGAATTATCATTCTTTACTCTCCAAATAACTAAAAACGACCACTTTTCGTATATTTTGAAGTGATTAAAAATGAAAGAGATCAAATTTATGAAATCTTTATAGCAAACAAAACACAAATTCACGAAATGACATCTTTATAGCAAACATTTTTCTCTCTGTATTCAGTTTTTGAACTTCTGGTCAGCAATAATGCAATTCTTCCGGCAGGAAGACAGACGTTGGATTGTCCCTTCAAGTTTTGCATTGGACATTAGGAATGACGCCTGTGCAACACGTTCATGGACAGATAAAAACAAATTGAGTTTCATTTCACTATTCAGACCAGCACGTAGAGCATAAGCACTCAAGGGTAGAACGGATCAACAAAGGTGGGGTAAAGATGTATCACAGATTTCTGTAGCGCTTTCTTTTCCCTCAAAACCTTACTAATAATAAACCGTATTAATAATTATCAATAAGCAATGGCATTGTGACTGTTGATATAAATAATCATGATATAACATTTAAGTTAACCAAGCGAAAGAAAACGAGGAAGGCAAAGACCAGGGTAGAACGACCATTTACAAAATTAATCGGGAAGTGAAAAGTATCCCCTAAATCTCGGAAGAATAAATATAATTAGCATCAATGAAGGTGATAAGATTCTGGAAGACAAAAGTAGTAATCTAGCCAGACAAGAAAAAGAAGAAAAGTAACAAAACAAAGAAGAATAAAAATAAAGGAACTAGCAGTGTTATAACAGAACAGATTTTCTAACATTGTTTTGCAATTTGAGACCTGGGGCGTATTTTAAGCGTTCTCGCACCATTCAAAGAAAAATTAAATTAAAAGAAATGATCTTTTTGAGATTAAAAAAAATTAAATTGCCTTTACTTCAAGAAAAAAATACGCAAAAACTATAAGTATTTAAAAAAAGTTGTATGACATTTTTTAAAACATTTTTTTGCATAGATTTCATCAAAGAAAGAAAATCTTTAACGATCAAGATTACACTTTTTCCAAAGTCATTTCTTTGTAATTTTCAAAAATACAGTGTTCCCAAAAATGGGGCCTGTGACACCTTTATTAAAGAAATTTATATTCGAGAAAACAATTTAATAAAAAAATTGAGCCTCTTTTCGTAAATAATTGTCAAAAACTGCCTATATATCACGCAAATTTCCGTGAAGACGGCTCCTATTTTCGAAAAATTATTCATAACTTAGTTTAAAGATTTTTTGAAGAATTCACTCAAGAAAAAACTCTATAGATTGTAGTCTCTCTATAGAAGAACTTGTAATATTAGGAAGACGCGAAAAAAATTGAACTTATGGAATTTTTGATAATTCAGAGAGTTCAACAAAAATGTCCTGTAATTATTTTTTTAAAGATCCTTTGACCTATCCGAGAAACAAAATAATCTCAAAATTTTGAACCATTTTTGAGAATATTTTGAAAATGTTATAGCTTAACATAAAGTACCTTAAAATCAAAATAACTGTTTCAAATTCGCACGGACTTGAGTTCGGCCAAATCTACTGGATAATATAAATTTTGAAGAAAATTGTCTGAACAGTTTAGGCCGTAACGTTAATCACAGACGGGGAGAAGGGGGGCGGATTGCCGGCCAGACCGCTTTTTGCCGTTAAACAATTTTGGGGAATCAAACACCAGAGCCCATATATATACATATATATATACATATATATATACATATATATACATATATATACATATATATACATATATATACATATATATACATATATATACATATATACATATATATATATATATATATATATATATATATATATATATATATATATATATATATATATTAGAAAGCCGCTTTAAAGAGAAAATATAATATAAGTGGAATGAATAATAAAAGTTATTGTATTAAGCATACCAAAGAGAATAAAGAAATGGGAAGTAAAATTGCTTCACCCTACTTGAGGGAAGAGTTACTATGATAACATTTAACAGAAATATCGGGTGATCAGTTTATTCACATTTGTTCAGACTACTCAGCATTTGTTCATCCTCTTTTCTTGTTTCTCTTCTCATCCTCCTCTTACTTTCCCACTTACTACGTACTTGCGTAGTAAAGACAAATTATTGTACTGCTGCAGCGGAAGTGGCGAGTTTTTTGACAAAAAACAAAGTTATCCAGGTAATAACTCATCCCTCAAGTGGGTTGAAATAATTTTACTTTCATGCCTTTATTCTCTTTTTTATGCTTAATGCAATAACTTTCATTATTCATTCTATTTATATATTTTATATTTAAAGCGACCTTCTAATAATGAGCAATAGTATTCGTTGTCTGAGACGAGATTCTTTTGATCAGTGATTACGATCATCGAGCATATGTTGTCTGGTTAATTGATGATTAAGCGGCCTAGCAATAATACGAGCCACGCACGGTAAAACTAAGCCTAACGAACTGGAATCAAGACATTGTGGCCCCAAGATCATCAGATCCTTTGCTCACCCCTTTTTGCCTATTGCGGGCGGCCGGCAGCGTCGCAACGAAAATGCGATTTCTGCTGCACTTCGAGGAACGTTCTCTGTGGTCCGGAGAAAAGGCACCGCTCATTGACCGGTAATTAGTACTATAGAAACGGGATATAAGTAATCTCTGCCTGGAAACACCGAGAGCACCGCCCCCTTCTACAAACCTAGACTTCCCAGCACGCTTTCTACGAAGCCCTTGTCCCTGGTGGCAACACGCGTGCTGACAGTGTCCCTAGTCATTGTTTTCGACAAGCCTGAAGCAAGGTTAACATTTTTATAAAATTTCGAACATGAATAACTTTTCTTAACTGAAGGAATTTTGATAAAATATTAGTTAAGTGTGATCAGAACTAATATTTTTATTATATTCTTATACAGTGACTAGTATATTTATTTTCATCAATTTAAAATTAAAAATTGCAATAATGCAAATGTATTTTATCATGTGAAGCCAACCAGCCACCCTTGGTGATTATATATTGAGCATATATTTTTATTTATACATTGTAGAGCTATAAGAGAAGAAATAAAACTAAATATGCACCAATGCCTAATGAGACTGTTTAATTTTTAGAAGAGAAATATGAAAAAATATTAGAAAGTAATTAGAAATTTAGGAAATCCTTTTCAGTGCTAAAAAGCAATTTTAAAAGAACAGTTACATGAATAATATTAAAAATAACTTGGTAAAAACAAGAGGTTAAATTTGTATTATGCAGACTAATGTGTTTAAATGAAAACATGAAATAGTACATTAAAAAGAAAACAAGTTTTGCAAAAACCTTAACATTTTCAGATTATTCAAGACATTTTTGATGTCAGAATAATTTATTACATAGAATAAGTACATATAAGATACATTATCAATGTTTCAGATAAGCAACCCACAATACGAAAATTAAAATACAAAACATTTGTTTTAGTATAATAATTTTTATCATTATGAACACTACTAAAGTATAAATTAGTTTTCAAAAATAGATTTTGACTTCAAATACCCATGTTATTTTATTGCTTGCAGGGAATCCTTAGGAAGCTAGTAACAAAGTAGTACATCATACCTTAGCTAAATCCGAGAGGTTGTTGAAACGCTGGAAGCAATCTGCTGTTTCAAGCTTCAATTGCTGCCATGAAGGAAGCAATTTCATATATTCTTGGAGACGTGCTTGTAATGTTTCGTATGAAGCTAGAAGAATACTGCACACTTCTTGATGAACATGTCTTGCATGAGCCAGTCGGGTACTTGAGCTTACACACTTTGTGCTATTTTGCTGTTGTAACAGAGTAATCACAAGGCTCAATGTAATTCCAGTGACTTAATTTTATCTAATTTTTAAAATATTTTCTTTCATATAAATTGAAACAGTTTCATTGGTAAAGAACAAATTTATCTTTACATTGCAAATTGTGTGTTAATTATATCTTTACATTGCAAATTGTGAGTTTTGACCGAACATGTGTCATTTGATTTTAAAATGAATATGATGTAATAACATCAAAAATTAGATATTAAATATTTTTAAGTAAATTATTACCAAATTTCCAAAAAATACTGTTTCCATAGTGGACTGGGGTTGTCGGAAGTTGAGTCTTTGTGAAGCTCCCAACCATGGTTTTGCACTGCGAGGTGTGCTGAAAAACAGAATGTCTCTACTTACATGTTCTAGAAAATCTAAGCTTCATAATAAATTACATTAAATTGTAAGTAGCAAACAAACAGGAAAGAAACATAAACTCAAAAATCCTTCAAGTTAGTATCTTAAGAAGGACTTGCATCTCATTTAAAGCAAATGGGTAAAACAATAAAGGCATTCCGGCTCTTACTCCTACATACAATATTAAAGACTTTGTTGCCTCTGACACTAATGGTGGAAATATTATTAATGTTATCTGACTATTTCAATGAAATGCCCCAAAACATAAATTATTATATCATTGAAAACTCAAGATGCTCTACATAAAAAATACTGAACTGAAGGTGGAAACCAGTATTAAACAAGACAAAGAATGAAACCAAGTATTAATAATAGTTTATAAAACACAGGCATCGGCAGACTTTGTTTTGTTTATTACTTATCAGTTACCTACATGGTGATAATATAATGGAAAGTTCATTTCACAAAAATTACAAACGGGTCAAATTCATAATAATTAATCAATAATAGACCTAACATAGATGTTTAATGAACAACATGTCAACATATCTACGATTAACATTTATAAAAAATTTCGATACTACGTAACATTCAAATGATGAAAGCATATGTTATGGTAAAATGAATACTTTCAAAATAAAGGTTGGTGGGAATATTTTGTGTCAAATGAATATGTATTTTAAACATTTGCTCTCATGCAAAACAGAATGTCTATTTAAATAAAAAAGAAAATATATTTTAAGATCATACTCTGGCAAATAAAATTAAAAATTCAATCAAATTGCAAATGAATGATCAGCAGTGCAATTCTTGAGTGCATATGTGTATTTTCTATATACAATTATGATGCCAATGAATAATAGGAACAATTAATTTTTCAAATTATAATTGTTATTCATATTGAGAATTCCACTGCTACTTTGATGAAAATGATACATGGACAGAAAACATCCTGAGCTAAAAAAGCCTGCTAATTTCAATGGACTCACCAGCTCTGCACATAATGCAGAATGCTTTTCCTGAGCATGCAGCAAGAAGAGAAAAAAAGCTGTTGAGTTGGTAGAGGATTAGGGCCAGGAAAGGTAAGGAACACAGAAAATAATGAGCACCATACTTGCACAATTACAATGGTGCAATCATTGCACAACAAAGAATAAACATTCCAATGATAATTGCTCATGGAAAACAACAAGAAGGTAATACAGAGTGGTATCTCAAATATAATGTACATCAACAAATGTTTATTTCAGGAAAATGTATTTTATTATGTGAATAAAAGTTATTTTTTCAACTCTTCTTTCTCTGGATTAGGCTATGACAATATCTATTTTGCTTCCATTGTTCAGATTAGAAAAATAGGAGATTGGAGGGAAGGCAAGTCTACGTCTACTAAGCATACTAACCATTTTTTAACTTAAAAAAGCACAGTTGTGCACACAATCAGCTGGTGTTCTCTGACCTAGAGCCTTATGTTACAACTTAAGAGCAATTTATTATTAAATTAAACAGGGTCGGCTCCAGTAGAATCAATACAAAAAAACGAAAAAATGTCCATTCTATTAATTTCTTTTAATTTTCTTATCTTTCATTCAATAATTAAGGAAAACCATTTACAACACACGCATTTTTATTATAACTGTTAAGTTACCTCATGAAGAGGTTTTACGGTATGACAACGGGGATTAATAGCGTCTTCGTGTTACAAGGTGGTGTGACCAACATTAGCTTTGAATGTCCATCTCATATAAACTGACAAAAATATATGATACCCATTGATTTGCTGCCAAAGTGGATCTAGCATGAATTACAGACATGTTGAGACAGTCTCCCTGGATTATTCAATGGTGCAAAATCTTTAGCTTCAACTGTGATTTACAATCTAGCTTTTAAGACAGTAGCAAGATGCCTTACTGAATCTATTATAAATGGGTATTTACAAACTTAATTATCAGATGAATTACGCAGTCCTTTTCAATTAATAAATCTGTTTAAAGTTTCAAATTTCTTAAAATTACCTTGTTGCACCAATTACATGGTCGTAGTTACTGAATTTAATGAAACCAGACAGTGAAAGATGTTATTTTGAACACAAATTCCAAAGCTTTCATGCAATACTCAATAACCCATTTCAAAGTTTATCTCATCTTTCCAGCATTTAACTTTTGGAATTGAATGTCTATGTGTATGGTATATCATTGTTTTATAAGATTGAGCCGACCCTGGCTTCAGTTCTTCAAAAACAACTTCAACACAAATATCACCATGCAAATGAAGTGAACATTGAATCATGTTACTATTGAACATGTGTATTTTTGAAAGTGTACTTAATTCTACATCAATACATTTAATAGTGCATATTAATTAATTTCGCATGTAAATGTAGGTACAAAAGTGCTTCTTTACATTCAATTTTATACTCTCGTTGTGATCTAATATTAAAAGTGAGAGTGTGACAAGCAAGCATTCTCAATTCAAAACTGTAATGCTTTAATTTCAGAATGAAAACACATACTAACAGTACAGTTTGGTCAGTTGTGCCTCTAGTGTGTGTAAAATGTGTGGCACTATGCTGAAAATAAAGAAGCTCTATCACATGCGTTTTTTGTTTGAAACTCATTATTAATGCCTTTAGCATCATAGTAGCCATATTTCATCATATTGATGAAATTTTTCTTGCTTCATGCTTCAATGTGGCCACACAACATTTAAAACTATAAAGGCTGTATTGTTCAAGAAATAAGTAAATAATTAATAATTATAATATATGCGCATTATTCTCCTAGATCAATTAACACAACAATGTAAATAAATTAAGTTCATTTTGCCATGCTAATGAGTAAATGTATTAAAATGCAGATATTAAAAGGACAAACTGTAAAAATAATATTTTTGTGAAATGGTTTTCTCTCTTCCATTCTTCAAAGATGATGACATAATACATGTCTCAGAGAAGAGATATCAAGACGTAAGACAAACTCTTAAATAAAATATAAGAGTTTGAAAACAATACTATACATACTTGTACTTGCTAGTCTGACATCTCAGCATTCTGCACTTGTTACATCATAAATATTTGAATAGAGTTTTTACTATAATACTACACTACAACTACAATTAGCACAGTTTATTCACAAAGTTTGTCCTCAGATTATATTAATATCACGTTACAGATACAGATATAATAAAACATGTATTAGGCGGTCACTCATGTTGGCCGTTGGAGGTGGCCGCTAAATAAGGTTATGAAGTTATGGAAATTGTAAATCTGGACCAAATGTGCTTATCGTTATAAAATTAAGAATATTTTTCTTAAAATAATTTTAACTGCCATAACAACAAAACAAACTTAAAAATGAACAAAATTATAATAATAAAATACATGGCATCTGTTCACGCAATTGAGTTAACTCATTTTTCACACAAAAAGTCTTGCAAATTTTTGTTCATTCCATCATTCCATTCATTCCATTCCATCATTTCATTCCATCATTGCATTCCATTCCATTCCATCATTGCATTCCATTCCATTCCATCATTTCATTCCATCATTGCATTCCATTCCATTCCATCATTTCATTCCTTCATTCATTCCTTCATTCCATTCCATCATTTCATTCCATTCCATCATTTCATTCCATTCCATCATTTCATTCCATCATTTTCATTCCTTTCATTTTATTCCTTCATCCATTCCATCATTTCTTCCATTATCATCTTCCTATTTCATTCCTTCATTTATTAATTCATTTCACTCATCCCATTTCGTTCATTTCCATTCACTTCCATTCGATTTCATTATCATCATTCATTTCATTTCATTCATTTATTCATTTCATTCATTTCATTCATTTATTCATTTCATTCATTTCATTCATTTCATTCATTTCATTCATTTATTCATTTTCATTCTTTATTTCATTCATTTCAATTCATTTCATTCACATTTCATGTCATTTTATTCATTTCATTCTTTCATTTTCATTTCATTTCATTCATTTCATTCATTTTTCATTCATTCATTCATTTATTCATTCCATTTATTCATTCCATTTATTCATTCCATTTATTCATTCCATTTATTTCATTCCATTTATTCTTCCATTTTATTCATTCTTTATTATTCCATTTTTCATTCCATTTATTCATTCATTCATTCATTCCATCATTCATTGCATTCATTCTGCATTCCATTCATATTTCACTTCCATTCATTATTCCATTCATTCATTCCATTCATCTCATTATTCCATTATTCTCATTTCTCATTCCATTCATTCATTCATCATTTCATTCCATTCCATTCATTCCTAATTCATCATTCATCTTTCATTCCATTTCATTCCTTCATTCCATTCATTCATTCCTTCATTCCATTCATTCATTCCTTCATTCCATTCATTCATTTCTTCATTCCATTCCTTCATTTCATTCATTCATTTCTTCATTCCATTCCTTCATTCATTCATTTCATTCGTTTCATTCTTTCTGTCCTTACCAAACCACATAAGCTAACTAGTCTTCAAAATGCAAATCACATGCAGGGCCGTCTCATGTTCGAGTTCGCGAATGACCTTCCGATCAGCTTCGCAGTCGTTTACTAGTTTTCACTGAGGGGATGCACTAGCAAGCTTCAAAAGACTGCTGTGGGATGGGACAAGCGTACATTTTGTTATATTTTAGATTGGTTGTCAGTGACTCCGGGCGCGTCAACTACTGGGTTCACCGCCCCTTTTCCTCGGAAGGAGGTGATCTTCCCCCGCTGGATGACGAGATCCGGCGCCGATCTACCGTCAGCTAGTTGGGTTTCCCACAACCAGGGTCTCCCACAAGCGGGGCACCGCCCCAACTGGGACAAGCTCAAAACTCCCGACCGGTCTCCCGGCATGTGTGGTATTGTAAGTGTAAGTGTGTGTAGGTAGTGTGTATAGGTAGTCCAGTGTGTGTAAGGGATGAGGATAGGGGAAGGAGGAGGAAGGAAAGATCGCACGCGGTCCGTGGCCTGTTTGTTAAGGAACTGCTCCGGCATTCGCCTGGTAGAGATTGAAGTAACCACGGACAACTACCGATCAGAGCAGCCGACCTCTAGTATTCTCCCCCAGAAAGCGACTGAATTTGACCTAGCTGTAAAGCTAGTGTCGAAAATCTTGCCGCTGTCGGGACTCGAACCTGGGACCACCCGGCCACAGGCACCGCAGTGACATCAGATGTAGTGAGCCACCCCTTCCGGTTTATATCGTAGAGATATTTATTAAAACCATCTTTGTTACAGACATTAATCTCTCTGTGAGATAAAGAATTTCAATACATCACTGTTCTGAGTAATGATTCATTGCGACTGATCGCGTTGTCACAACAGTATCTCCAACACTTATCCGCTTCTTATTCTAATACAGTTAAAACTCGCTAGAGATGAACACATAATGGGGTTACTGTAGAAAATAGTCTTGGTCGTTGGCCCCGGGGCCAGTGTGCTTGAAAAAGTGTAAGTGTGTGTGTAGGTGTGTACAGGTGTCGTATGGGAAAATTTGAAGGTTCCACGAAACAATGGCCCAGAAGTGACTGCTTATAGGAGGTGGCCGTAAGAGTAGGTTTCACTGCGTTGTATATTGAGGTATTTAAGATTCACACTCATAAAAAAGACCGAGAAAGTGTGTCATCTTTGAAATTGTCTCAACACTCCTAAACACCATACACGTTTTGTAAGAAGTCATCGCAAAGTATTATGCGCCTTCAAAATAAAATAATGTATCTGTAATGATATAATATTCTGCAATGTTTTTTTCTTAATGTAATTGTAAAAAAAGGAAATTAATTTAGTGATTGATATATGACCAAACTTCACTCACTTAATATATGGCTGGTGGAGGGCAACAAGGGATGCATGGATAGTGAGGGTGACTGCTGCAAGATGAAAATAGTCAAACAAGACTGGAAGATGATAGTGCAGCCCCCGTGTAGGGGAGAAGTGGAGCTGCAAAGTCCGACTTGACACACAGGCAATAGAACTATGCTGATCAGGACCAAAGTTCTGATCTGTGAACCATAGTTCCACTGCAAGAGAGAAGTCAGCTCTTTCCAGTGTATCTTCAATCTGAAATCAAACGCACAAAACGGGGGAAAATCTGTAATCAAAGTAAAATAGAGTACACTTTTTGATTTGATAACACAAATAATTAAGTACTCATTGTATTTTTAATTTCTTTCTCATACTCGAAAATTTCTCATAAAACTTAGAGAAATAATTTTTCGACACCTTACTTGAATAGAGGGAGAAATAAATACTTAAAATAGAATTTGTTATGTAACTTTCATTCATGTAATATCTAAAATTTTGGTAATGGACATGCAAATTTACGAACATTTTGACTTAATACATGAAAAAAAGTTATAACTCAAAAGAAACTTCCATAAGAGAAATATGATTTTTTAAAAATTTATTGTGACAAATTTGATTTTAAATAATAATTAATTGTAGTTCAAGACTAATGGACAAGACCGAACTAATGGACTATCTATAATTAACTATTTATCTGAATTGTCATTTAACAGGAAGATATGTTGAATTGTAAAACATTAGTACCTTGTGGCTATCAACAAGAATATGAGCCCGGAACATGATGACATCATCCAACAACACCTCTTCATTGCGATAGAGAATCTGAAAGGTCTTGCTTACTCCTGTGCCATTGACTACACACGCCGGAAATACAAGGTCACTCCCTAATACACACAAAATAAATTAATACTCTGAAAATAATGACTTCAATAATCCTTTAGTTACAATGTTTTTAAAAAATGATGGATAATAATGTATATTCGATTATATATCGATAAAATTATATCTTACTTTGATTTCTAGGTAGATTAACCTCCACTTTGACTGGAAGCTTAGGTGATACACGTAATGCTGTGCGTATCTGGTAAAATCTGCAAAGAAAAATAATCTGTAGTTAGAAATATAAGCAAAACAGAAAAAAAGGAATAACAGAGATACTATTCAGTACATGTAATAAAATGTTAAACACTCGTATAACTAATGATTATTCTTTTAATATATTTTCAACATCATACTTTTCATTTCCATCATAGAAATTGAGAGGAATATTGAATTTATAAATTTCAAATCCCGTTGACAAAATGCCAATCAAACAATTTATATACATTGGACAAATTTTTAATAATACGTAATTCTATGATCTACGATTTAACAAATTCTAATTGAAATATTTTCAAAATAGCTTTATATAATTTTCTTACTTTCATTTCTTCTCACTCCTCTCAATTTTTTTATAAAATTATTTCTTAGTCTTTTAATCTACAGCAATTATATTTAATTATTAATATTGTTAATTATCCACTATTTATTATTGATTATACTATTAATTACTAATTTTTTCATAAAGAATAAATCATTTTTAGGATGCATCTGAAATCATATCATTTATTCAGTCAGGTCTTTCTAATTCATACTATTTGCCATTGAGAAAATAAATGGAAATTATACCTTTCAATTTTGTTTACACTGAAATCGTACCTACATCTTCAGTTGGAGGAGTCGCTAAAAAACAAGGAAAAGTTGAAGAACGGAAATCCAGACAAATGGAATGAATTTCTTGAGAAAAATGGGAATAGAAATTTATTGAAAAGCAAGAGGATAAAAAATGATTAAAAATGAAAAGATGCTAAAATAGAAAAGAGAAATAACAAGAATACGAATTCAGAATTTGCGTCAAAAAGAAATCTCCGGAGAAGAATTAACAAAACAAAATGAAAACACCTAATAAATAATAGGTTTATATGCTTCAACAAGCACTCTTAAGAAAGCGGTATGTTTGTCAGGTTGTGAGTCATTCAGTGGTATTATTGACTTGTATTAATAAAAAAAGAAAAGATGTTACATGATTCCTGAAGATGTTGAAGAAAATGTCAAAGAGTTCTTTGAATCAGATGAAGTAAGCTGGCAAGCTCCGGGTAATAGGTATTATATGTGTGTTAAAAAAATTGAAAACAAAAAAATGGGTCAGAACATTCGGATGTAAAACAACAAACTACTTTTGACTATTTCACAAGTCCACGGACTTAATGTGAAAAAACATAAAAATAAAATTCCTCGTTTCACCAGTTGCAACCTGACCATGTGAAGACTCATTGACACTCCGAATTACGCTTTTTACACATTTGTGAATTTTCATTAACCCCAAAATCAATTCTTTAGATGATGTACTATGGTACAAAAAGTGAGCCTTGTGACGGTGAAGTGACGGACAGCGGAAACGGACAGATAAATGGACAAACACACAATGAACGAATAGGCAGATGGACTGAGGGGTGAAATCTTATGTATTTGTGAAACTTGTCATGAATTAACTCAAAATTCCTCGAAAACTGCTAATATTTTTTTAGAAAATGACGTTTTGTTTTCTTATAATTATATGTTAATATATTATATGGATAAAATGTTATTTTGAGAAAGTCTGTGTGACGTAGTAGTACTTGTTATTTATCACAACCCATTTAATTTTGACGAATATGTGAAATGTGTAATTCTAAGAATTTTCATTAAAATACAAGAACATGTTTTAATTATTCACACTTCAACGACACAAATACATTCTATGTATTAATCGACCGGGCAAATGCATACATTCAATAAATTTACACCATCTCTTTATATCAAATTACGCGCCAAGATTCGATATTTCGAAATCTGCAATTGAAAAATAAAATTAAATCTCCGTAATACTGATGTATCGACATCATCGTACGTCCGCCTGTACGCTCTGCGTACACACGCCTTTCCCACTCGCTCTCTTTTCCGTGGGTGCGTTCTTGGCCGGAGTAGAGGGCCTAAGCCGCG